TGGCGAGTTTCATTAAAACTTTCGTTTTATGGAAGAAAATATTTTTTGAATTTTCCCATTGATGGCAATAGGGAGCTTCAAGGTGGAAGCTGTCGTATAAACAAGTGGGAAGACAGCCGTAAAGCGTGCTTCATGCACGCCTTACACAATTAGTTTCTACTGTGCACTTGAACGTCCATAAAGAATATCTCAAACAAGGTGCTATCTCCGTGATTTAAAAAAAAATCGGTATGCCATAAATTGGCGCGCATTATAACTTTGTATATAAGCACTTGCCCGCGTGCTAATAAATAAAAGTTAAGGATAAATTTTTTTGTTCATTAGCTGTGACAGTGCCATTGTAACTGCGGCAAAGCATATCCTTTTGAACGTGTATTTCATGGGTGAAAATCATAGGAGCCTTACTGTCAGGACTTTTCTTACAAGAATCTGTATTATATATAATATATATCTAAAAAAAAGACAACCATGTGTGTGTACACGCCTATATATATATATATATATATATATATATATATATATATATATATATATATATATATATATGTTGTGCATGTGTTTTCACCATTTGTTATCCATGTACGTGTTGTAGCGGGCTTCAGCCTCTATTGTACTTAATAGTGGCCCTCGGGAGGACATTATCCCAGTTACAGATGGTAAGGTAGGCAGTTTGAAGTTAGCTCTAAACCAATATAGCAGTCAAGAATGTACAACTAACTCTTTCCTGATACATGCGTACGCACGGCAACCAAGAATGCAGGCCACAAGAAATAAAAACAAAACAGAACTTAAAGAACCAGAACAAGCAACCCATACGCCACCGCATTAAGTGAAGTTTCGTGTACAAGACTTCTTTAAGAAGGTAGAAGGTAAAGCTTTTTCGCACGCCCTTTTTCTCTGATCAGGTAGAAGACATTTGGGGAAGCTTCTAGATGTTCACTTGTATAGGGAGCCTTGGAAACGAAGAATCACTTCATTCAAGTGCTACAGAAGTAAACAAGCTTTAATAATGGGTCTTTCTATAAGATATTTGAAAGTTGGCAGCAACATGCAAACGTCCACACGCATATATTTTTTTAACTGTGGCTAGAGTTAGCTGGCCTACCCACATAATTGCACAAGTGTTTATGCACAGGTTTGGTGGCTGCAGTATGGCAACGAACTGAATTCTGTACACCAGGCAGCTTTAGAATAGAGAACATAGGTTTTGCATACCTTGGTGTAACACGCACTTTTTCCAAGAAGTATCTCGTGTACCCAAGAAATTAGCATACAACATATGCACAGTTGCAACAAACACAGACGCAAAGCTTTGCGTACCCTATCTTAAAACTCCCTGCTGACCAATGATGTGTCTAACCTCAACATCTTCAAAAGGCAGAGTGATGTCTTAGCGTAACATACCCCCTTAGGTCTTTCCATGGCGCAGACAAAGTAGAGTCGAGCCACAGCCTGTCACAAACCATGCAAGCATGTCAAAACTCCAGCGCCAGAACTAACGTGCCAAACTGGCTGTGGCACCCCTGGTGGTAGCGCGGACCTTTCGTCACTTGTACTCTGCTTGCGCCGAGTAGGGAAGGTGACCACATGTTGCAATTTTTTTTATTGAGCGACACGTCATGAAATGAGGCTAATCATATGTACAAATGTTGCCCGCATAGACATATGTTGAAGAGTTGCAGATGTTTACATGACCAGTTGTTTGCGATTGCACAACGATGCCAACTAGAACATGCCTATTATAGCAACACCACAAGCTGATATGAAGCGCTGATGCTCGCGAGGATGCTGGTCCTGTGCACTGCTACATAAGTAAACTTCAGCATTCAGTAATTAACCACAATTGACGTTAACCCGCCGTGATGGCAGTATCAAAGGAGTACATATGTAATGTTTATAAAATTGGGCAAGCAGCACTGCAACCACTATTGACGTTTCACGAAGATTAGCATTTGAAAAGCAGGTTCGAGACGTGGTGTAGCTCTGTGGTAAAATGCTTCATTGCCACGCAGAATGCTTGGGTTCGATTCCAGCTAGAACCCTGACATTTATTGTTTGCATTCGTCGGATCGACGCTACCGATGTCGGGTATTTCTAAACGCTCGCACGTTAAAATTGCCCTTGTGTGTTCTCGTCATTCCTAGGTAGATACTAAGTGTCCATCACCTGTGGCACATACCTGCATACCAGCGGCACATACCCACCCATGGGTATGTGCCACTGTCTGGCGGGAAGTTTTTGACAACGTACGTGATGGGATTGCGACATTATTCATGTCTTGATCAGCGTGTCATATTCGTCATACCATCTTACCCTTCCTTGCTAAATTTGGTTGCAGCTAGATAGATAGATGCGCTCAAAGTCACCAAGTTCGCTAGAAATGCCTCGCATTTATAATAAAGCTTATATGAGAGCTCCTATGGTGATGGCGTCATGTCGGCTAAAGTCAATTGTGGTTCCAGTGTTGGAGGAAGGATACGCTAACGAAAAAATACAGTAAGAAAGCTACGTATGACATTAATATAATCGTACCGTAATATGCGATTATGCGAGTCTGACGTTATGTCAGCATACAAGTTACCCTTCAAACACCGGTGTAGTCAACGTGTCTGGTAAGCTCACAATGTGCGAACAACTACCACATGCACACTACTCCTCATAACGCGTGCCTAAAAGCCAAAAAATTATGCATTAGCAACTACTCACTGGACTGCTTGGCGTTAAATTGATTCCTACAATCCATGGGGTCTGCAGAATTTCATTATAACATCATTGTCTTCAGGTATTCTCAATCCAATTATTTAGTTTTCTATCAATTTTAAATGCATTTGCAATTTATTAGACGTGTCACATGAGCCAACATTTTATGATGCAACTCTTGTAATTGTGATATAGAAAAGTGAGATGCGTGCTGAAAACAGGACTCCAAAACTATTTCGTTGGTCAAAATAAGTGACAACGTCCATACTATCTTGAATACCACATTTTCTCGCACATGAGCAGCCTAAGTATGCGAGATTCGAGACTGAAGCTGGGGTGTGAGTGACACGCCAATATGGGTGCACAAGTTGGCTTCGCGGTGCTGTTTTAAGATAATGCAGAAAAGCTGGCCTTACAAAACTGTGCGTGAGTTTTCTAAATTTTTTTCGTCTCATCTTGCGGTTGGGCTGACTACCAATTTTACATGCGTTTGTAATTTTCAACACCTTGTGTAAGTCAACATTGGTTCTGCAATTTTCCCAATCGTGAGGTAGGATAGAGATATGAAAAGGAGACTTAAAAAGTATGATTGTCGTAATATCAAACAAAGTCAACATGCTCTTGAATACCATATTTTCTCGCTTATAGGCCACATAAAATGTACAACAAATTCAGAGGTCAAGTCGGGCTACGAGTTACACTCAATTTCGGGTAGCAAGTCGGCTTCATGGTACTGTTTCAAGGTAACGCAAAGAAGGTGACTTCATAGCAATGTGCGTGGGCTTCATTTAAAAATAATTCAATCCGCGTTTTATAGTTGGGCATAGAGGTTATCTGTGAGACAATACAGTGTACATAAACAATCTGAGTTGATTCTTGCAATTTTTTTTCTTCCATTATCTGCGAGTTTTCGTGATTGTGCCATACTCTCAATACTTTAAAACATCATAGTACATTAGCAAGAAAGCTGAAAGACACCTAACTTGTTTGCATAAAACGACGGGGGAGAGAGAGACACTACTAACAAAAGTCGCTAGCTCAGGAGCTGGCGGGACAGTCACCGCTAAGGAAGGGCTTGAATTGGTCCTGAAACGTTAGGCTAGTTTTTAGTCTTTAATTTTAACATTATATCTATGCACAAAAAATAGCTGTAGAGCTTGTTTTGTTCATTTAATTTCTCTAGTTTTATTATTTGTACAATTCATGAAATTTTTCATGTTGAATGAGGATAATTAATGGCTACAGCAGCAATGCATACATGTATACAGAAGTGTATACCACATTCTAAACAATGGAAGTATTTTGGAATTTTACAATGCGATGCAGGTTACACCAAACTTGCTTTGGCTAGTTCAGTCGGACCAGACCCTTTTATAAGAGACACTGATATAATAGACTAATGAGTATGTATAAGAGACAGCAGTGTGCCTACAGTAAAATACTGGTTGATGAGAAAATGCATGCGAGCTACACTGCTTATAAGAGACATCTCATATAAAAGACAAGAATTGCTGCCTGGAGCATGCCTCTTATAAAGGGGTTTAACTGTACAAGTATATAACCATAATAACTAGTACAATCTTTAGAGCATGTCAGTTTTTCAGTATCAGATGATTCTATTTAGTGTTCTGCACAGGTTCGTGACACACTTAAAGCGTCAGCTTGGACAAGTAGTAATAAACTCGGCCCCTAACCAGAAAAAGTGCTAATCAATCGGAATTGACAAAACAGTCTCTGCGCAATACTAGTTATGCAAAATAAAGGTGAATGTCCTTTTTACAGAATTTCATGCCAAAGCAACAGCATCGCTAGCTATATGAAACAGCAGGCAGTGTAACCTCACTTTCGTATTCGCACGTTTTGTCTCGGCGAAAGGAAATAAAATTGTAAATCTCATAGTTGAGCAACATAGAGTACAATTCAATTCCAGTTTAATGACGAGCAATATTATGTGCCAGAGGTGACATCATCAGAACCGATGACATCACAACAAGCCAAAGTTGGATAGGGCAGTAACGCAGACACTGAAAGCTTGTTTTGGCATACTTTTATTTTTTAGAGGGAAGGGATCTCACTAAGCTACATACCACCCCCCCCCCCCCCCCCCGATAAAAGATAAACTCATTTTCTTTCCCATGGTATTGCAGAAAGACAACTAACTAGTACACCTCAAGTCTCCCAGGAGTCCATTTAAGGTTGATAATTATGCCAAGACTTAACCACTATTACAAAGCCTAGGAACTACATTGATACTGCAGCACTTACAGCACTATGCACTACGCAGACACCAAACAACCACGTCATGCATTATAGTTTTATTTTGTACGCATGTATCTGCCACAGAACCCAGCACCACCTTTCTTTACACACCACCACTTTAACTGCAGCAGGCACTCACGAATGTCCACCTCTACTTCTTCAACTGCTGAAGAACTTGCTCTCCTTTGGACGGTTTCCAAAAATAGTGGTAGTTTGGCAGAACTTTGGTCAGGAAGTCAAGCTGCAGCGTCTGCGTCTATGCACAAAAAGCAAATGCATGATTAGGTGACAAATATGCCTTCAATACAATTGTGATAAATACTTGGTTATGCTATATTCATTGATTGTGCATTAGAGTACTGTCGTTCTAATGGGTCTTTGCTCCACAATCAAGTCATCATTCAGTTGTAAAAAATAAATAAAAACAAAATGCCCATAAAATGCAAGCTCTAAAGACAACGAGCAGTAGCACCAGCATGGATGTCAGTATGTCAATAATTACAATGCAAAAGCATTTAATAGCCAATAATGTGAAGGAACATGAGTGAATTCCATGCATGAGAAGTAAAACAAAGCTACAGAGGTGTCTACCTGCCACATCTCTGTACACCTGCCATGATATTTACAAGAAGGCTATTAATTGCTGTGAGACCTTGTGCACCAGAATATGTGTGCCACATATCTAATCATAGGCAAATCCAGACCCAAGATTTCCCTTACAAGTGCACTGAGAGCCGCGTAGTTTAGAACCCACACATTCCTTCATTTTGCAGTGTTCTTTTTTTGCTGCCCTTACAACTCAGACAATTTTCACTACTGTGGAGGATTTATCCAGGAAAAAAAAAAACAGAATAACGTGTGTGTGCAACAAGTTACAGCTTATACCGCTGTCAATCAGCCTACCGTTACTACTGCTCGTGACACTGCACTTCCAGACTACAAAAATTAAAATTGCAAGTGACAGTTTGGTGCAGGCAAGCAAGCTTCACTGCACTACATTGGTGCATGCAGCAAAGCAAGCAAATGTGCCACATGTCCCGACTTTTTGCCAAGGTTGTTGCCATAAAAATAGGTACGCAGCTATTCACAGCATCTGTCTAATATCGTCTAGTTAAGCAGTGTCTATAACCAGGCACATTGAAGTGCCACCACTCTTGGGTTATTCAATTAACTTAACAACATGCCTAGCACTGTCTGTATACAAGCACATGCATAAATTACTTGTCTCTAACTTTTGGGAGTAATCTTAGCACTTCAGAACACATTATGAGGAGCCGTCAGACTTGACATAATGAAGTAGCCTTGAGCCAGAAGTCATAGATACATCCAGCAATACCAAAGTACATGAAGTTGTCAGCACAGGTTGGCAAAGTTAATAATCATAGTTACAAGACTCATGGTCAACTCATTGAGACTCACTTAGACTCGGAGCAAGCGGTAAATCTGAATATGAGGGAGTAGTATCATGTTGAGTTTGCGTACGAGTGGGTTCAGTAGAAAAACATTTTACAGAGTGTGAGTCTACTGAGAAAAATTCTGATGAGTTCGAGTCCGAGTGAGCCCTTTGATCAAAATATATTTCATGAGTAGGCTGAGTGAGCACCACTTTTTTTTGTTAACTTATGGTAGCTTACAGTGAAAGTTTATATGCGTACACTTTTGACCATGATTGTGCTTTTGATACTTTCCAAATTGTCCACAATCTGTCTGCAAGCAGAATGCCTGGACGCCTTATGCAGGCTACCTTCATGCTCACTGCAGGTGTCGGCATATATATTTGATAAGCCAAAGTATGATAAACAAACAAAACAATCACATATCAAACGTGAAATGCCTCCTTGCTGAGCCTCAAATAAAGTTTAAAAAGATGGAAGCGTTACAATAGAAAGAGCAATGCACTATGGTAAATTCCAGCTCCCTTGTCTAGAACAAGAAGCCAACTGTCATTTCTGATTGGCTGACATGCTGCTTGTAGTCAGTGAAGCAGTTCATTTGCATGTTTCGATAACACAGTGCAACTCAAGGTTTTGGCAGTGGACGAAACATATTAAGGAAAACCTGATTAAAATTCATCCTTAACTGCACTATTTTCTCATCTTACCTTTACATAAAGCATGTGACGCCAATGTCTTTTCGTATAGATTTGTGAGTGACACTGATTTTTCTACAACCATAGCCATATTTCAAATATAAAAACTTCTTAAGTATAAGCCCTGTCAGCTGATTCTCTTATATAGAATATAATAATTGTCAACACACATGAAAGAATGAAAAGAATACTTATTTATACATTATGTCTGATGTGTAATATGCTATCTTTTGACAAGGCTACACAATTGTCCCAAAACCTGCATATAAAGTGTAGGAGTGTATACACTGTCAAGGAGAAATAAGACACAACGCCCTTGCTGCAGGCCGGCTGTTCTCATTCTGACCTCTTCTTCCTTTGCCTCTAATCACGTAACCCCCCGTGCCCCAGCGACGCTGTCATCCTTAGAACACTTATACACAAACTGCTCACTACTGCAACAGTGGCTGCTGAAGTCACTATCAAAAACTCATGTAACAAAACATAGTGAATCTATATTCCGTACCACATCTTACACCCATCGACAAGAACAGCTCCTTATATCATCATGGCAATAACAGGAGTACGGAGACCAACACTCTACACCACTCACTGCTGGCTTTTCGTTCTGAATTCTCCTTTCACATGTACGGCCATATATTACTGTATTTTCCTTGAGCTTCTCATGAGTACTGACGTCACACATGGCCCCGATGACACAACCACTGGTCAGCTCAGTGTATCTTCCCAATTTACCTAAAATCAAAGAGAAAACAAAATGCACTTTGTCAGTTCACCGTACACTATGTAATACATACAATACACAAGTGCTGGTGCACAAGCTCGCTTTGAGATGAGGTCACACAAGACAGCCGTAGGTAATACCAAGTGACTAAGATATGCCCAGTCTTATACACTGGATTGCCATACCGGCTTCCTAAGAAGAAAGAGCTTTCGCCCAATATGCTGTTTCTCTTTACAAGGCTTGTAGTGAATGTAATATGGAAATACTTAGGTAGCGCTGTCATCTCCTTTTGGTGTAAAAGCACTCCACGCTGAATGCTGCAAAGAGCAGGGCTGTTGTTTCTGTGCGCAAGCCATTAACAGACGTTCTATAGAATGAGGCATTTCAACTAAAACTGCACCACATGACTACTCAACTAGTAGCAATAAACAATGGCAAGTTGATATCTGCTATTGTAATAATTCAATATGATGGATCTTACCACTATCAAAAGACCTGGATGAAACCAAACTTGTTGCGCACATACTACTTGATGTCAGCCATTAAAAAATTAATGTAGATAGCCAAAAGGGTCAAAACAAAAAAAAGAGAAAATAGGAAGAAAACACAAAAAACAGTGCAGTGGAACCAGACAAAACTTTATGCAAGGACAATGCCCAAAGGTGATGCAGGCAGTATGTGTGTGGCCGTGGAGTGTAGTATATGGGTATAGCAGCTCTTGTCGGCATTAAATCCCTTTCACGTTCAGTGAAACAGTCCTGCTTACTTTTGAAAACTACCACCTTAATTCTCCCATTAACATGCTCTGACAATGCTTATTTAAAAGAGTGAATACTTGCGAGGGTATGCGGCGATACTTACTTTTTGACTCGAGGACATTATTGTTGCCTATTACAAGTGCTTCAGAATCTGAGTAAAAAATAGTCAAAGGAACTCCTTTTGTAGTGAGAAAGAGTTCTTTATGGAGTGCTACTTCTACCTTATCCTGAATGTTGTGAAACTTCGCAAAACGATCATAAAACAAAGGCAAGGGCGAACAAAGGAACAAAAGATCCCATTTTAATTTTATAGGACACAGAAGGATACAACTGCCAACTTCGAAAACGTTGTTGTTCCCGATTGTCATAACGATTTCCGAGTCAGGGGGGTCCCCTTCCTTTCTCCTGAAATGTAAATGAGAGAAAGTCAGCGATATGCAGGAAATATTCCTCCATAACTCGTCACATATTCATATTATGTGAAGAAAGCAATGCTTAAATGCTCTGTTTAGATGACGGCCACCTTGTGCGTTTCGGCGCCACAAAGCCGAGCACAGTCACTTGATTCGCATACACCAGAATACATAGCAAATCAGTACGGCAAACAGGCGGGTGGAGTAATGCCCTGTGTGCTGTCATTTTAGTTCACGTAGGCTGTGCCAGGCCGACACCCGCTGATTTGACAACGCTAAGCAAAGTTTCTACAGCTGTATAAAACCATCCTTTGCGCTACATTTGTGAACTACCAGCGACGTGCATCGGAACAAACACGACACAATTTTCAAACAAACCTCGACGCACATCACCTGTTGACTATGTAGACTTGTTCTTCAATAAGGTTGTTGTCCCCTATGATGATAGGTCCCAGCTTCAGCAATAATGTGCGCAGCGGGATGAACAATCGTGCGGCTTCCTGCAGCAAATAAGTGAATTTAGTTGGTAAATATCGCGACGCGCTGCAAAGTAGTATGTGGTTTCTGAACGATCGTAAGGCCACAAACCGATTGTAACATCTCCTTTTATTTCGCATTCTGCTGTTACAACAGCGCCGGCGTATATCTTCACAGTTCTGTAAGCGAAACACGAAGATCGGTAAGGACAAGTCGTCTTAAACGCAAGCGTCTGCTCTGTTAGACAGAACGTCCAGTACGATGACACATGCACTCACCCGCCAGGAGGCTTGGGTAAGGGATGCCGTGCTCATTATCCGAAAGAGTAAGCGTCGCTACTTGAGAATTCTAGCTACAACGCAAAAACGTGGCTGTGTGATCGCTGTAAACTAACTTTAACGACAAATTGACAGCTTCCAAAACCACTCCTCGACGACCATTTTAGGAAGACTCATGGATACGACAACGGATTACGAAGGATCATGAAGGAAGGAAACTGGCTACCAAACAAGTCGGCTATGAAGTAGACAAAATATACTGGCAGTATATTCTAGTATAAACATGCTCAAAAGCATAGCCTTTGAGATTCGCAATTACTAACCAAAGTAAAAAAAATATTGATTCTGACAAAAACTTGAAAGTAGAAACCTTTATACAACTTATTACACATTTTAATAAAAAGTTTTATAGGTAATTACTTAGAGTTACTTTTTTTAGCACAAGACTGGCTCGAAGTTCGAAAGTAAGGAAGCTGCTCAATCAATATGGCAGCCCGAACAAATTCAGGCAAAATGGCATAAGCGGGCATATAACTATGGAGAAAGACGGTTTTTTTATGAAGCAGACATGCCGCTATGCCGTGTGTTGTTTTGACGTTTCGCAGATGTGACGCCGTAGACGTGTCGTAACTGGAAAATTCTATTGGTTGTTCTTTTGCGTAAGACGCTACGAACGCTTACAATGACGCTTCCTGTCAGCCACAAGACCGTGTTCGTGCTCGATCACAGCCCTTACTTTCTCACCTCATGCCAGCAGCACATCGAGTTTGACATCTTCACGAAGACGCGACAGCCAGGCATTATCCCGCTGGCTCCCATCTCGAAATCGCTGTGGACATGCAGCGTCGAAGCGGCGTTCGAGTACTGTCGCATCGTGTGGGACATTTTCCCCACGAGTAAGCTGATCAGATTCGTCGTCAGCGGCGCTTCGGCTCGCTATTTGAATTCGTGGATGCAGGAAGATCAAAGCATGTCTTACCTGATGGCCGTTATGGCCCAAGTCGGCGCGCCTTCGGAAGCTGGCTCTTCAAAGGACTACAACATCATCACCGGACTCACCGCCGCGATAGAAGCCCTGTGCGAGTGCAGCGAAGTGCAGCATGAATGCCGCACATCTCTTACCGAAACAGCTGGGAAGGTGGTCAACAGAGGTCGAATCGTGTGCATCACGTCGATGAAGTCTGACGCCGAGATACGAACGCTCGAGGAGAGGTTTTACAGCATACTAACAGAGCACAACAAACTAGCATCTGGCACAGATTGTCTTATGCCGGTTCACAAGTGTGAGTTGGTCGTGATTCTTACGTGTCCTGTCAATAAGGAGATAGATATGAGCGGCTTTTCAAAGCGTGATGTCGGATCTTTGCTAAGCAGCGAGGTTCATAGGTGCCGATCGGGAAGGCATCTAGCCGTGAAGCTGGGATACCTGGTCCAAGTACATTACAACCTCGCCTCCACCACTGTAACCGGGATCCCCATGAAGGAGGAGCAGAACGCAAATTCATCCGCAAATTACGACGTTGAGCTTCTGCACCCAGCCGCTGCTCACACAGAGCTGTTCAAAACTGGCTTCAGCAATACGGAGGGTGTTCACGTGAGCACAGTGAAAGAAGGACAAGCGTATGAGACCGTCACGCTAAAATGGTGCACTCCACGCTCCAACAGCGTAGAACTGCAGTACTGCACAGGAGCTTTCAGGATTACCCCCGTCGATATCAACAGTAGGCCGTCGTCTTGCCTCACAAACTTTCTCCTCAGTGGCCGAGCAGTAATGCTCGAAATGCCTAGGAAGTCGGGCTCCAAAGTGATGTCCCATATGCTTGCCAGTCACGGTGGTGAGATATATATTCACACGTTGGGGACAGGTCGGTCAACGCTTGAAGACCCACCTTCTATTAGCGAGGGCTGCGGTGGGAGAGTTACAGACTACAGAATCAACGACTTCGGGGAATTCATGAAAGATAACAAGCTTGTTCCCTTCAATGTTGGTCCAAATGATCGCCAGGAGCCACCCATCCAGCGTGCCCTGAAGAGGCTGCAAAGACTGACCCAGTATTGGCCCATGGTGATTAGCCATACAACCATCTTCAACATGGCCTCACAGTTGGACCCCCTTCTCACCCTCATAACCAAGGAAAGCTTGACCCCAGACGAAATCATAGAGTGCAAGAAGGTCATATACCTCCTTGTCAGCATGGAGAGCAAGGGCACTGCCCTGCCTGTGCCCACTATTGGAATGCGTGGCAAAGGGCCCAAGCGTGAGGAGCAATATCGAACAATGTGGAATGAGCTGGAGAACTACATTAGGATGCACTGTGTCACAGCTGAACACAATGTTATTCTGGATTGTCTCTTGGAGTGCAGGAAACCAGCCGAAGGTGATTCTAGTGGAAATAACCAGAAGGCTAGCATTACAGGTATTAAAAAAGAGAAGGGACTGTCTGGAAAGGACGAAAAAGGTGAAGGGAAATGGTCAGAGGTCGATCTGAGCTGGCGGGATGGAAAGTTTGGGGATGCAGACAAGGTAGACGAGGGGAGCTGCAAACCTCCTTCAGTGAAAAAAGCACGTAGTAGTGGTCTTGAGGGAGAAATGCTTGGATCAACCAATCTCCTGCACTTGTGGAGGAACAAAGTGAGCACAGAGAATGCGAGAAGACATGTCGAGTTCGCTGGACGATTAAACGGGGACAGTAAGGTGGCTAAGTTGTACCCAAATCTGAACATTGATGGCAATGATAACGAAAATGAGTCAAAGCCAAATGCTACTGCAAGGTCCTGAGGAGTGCTATGAAATGTTCCTTGAAGCAACTTTGTTTATATGTGTAAAAACAATGCGCGTCAATAAATGTTCCAGGATACATACATGGTGTGAAATCTAGATGATTTGAAATAATTCCCTTAGCGAAAATAAATGAAAACCTTCGAGGCAGAGGGTGCCGCCAAAACTTGACGGCCGTCCGAAATGAAAGTTATTTCTCTCTCTTCACTAAGCGAGCGAACAAGGTGACGTTTATTGCGCGTTTTAATAATAGTGGCGTTGCCTGGTCGAGATCGAGGTCGCAGGTTCGACCCTAGCCTCATTTAAATGCAAGTGGTAACGTTAGTGAATCCGATTAATTAGAAGGTGTTTCTCGTGGCCAGATTGTAGTTTTACGCGTAGAATTCAAACGACGAAGTTATTCAAGGGGCGGAGCTCCTAAAGCCGTGCCTCTGTCCCTCCTAGCTCGCACATGACCGCCTAGTTCAACGGCTCACTCAACAGGTGCGGACGGATGGATGGACCATTCACGGTTTACCAATAAAACCCTCCGAAGCTTCGCCCCACTTATCATCATTCACTCTGTGGATAAGTTGTGATTTTTTTTTCTTGTCTGCCATGCGTTCTGCGCAACTACATATTTTTAACAGGTTGGATAAATTGCTACTAGATGGCGCTAGCTTTTACACAAATTCAAGTGTTGCATTGTTCCATTAGTTGTGTGAAGTGGTATGTTAACTCCAGTTGTTATGCAGCGTGGTGTGCGGTGCATGGAGGTGCGGTGTGTGCTACTCGGGCGGCCGCATCCACGTGTTTGTGTTTACAGCCTGCTTACCTTTTGATCTGTGTCAGTGTGCGATATTCAACACTGTTAACGTTGTGTCGCCTCTGAAATGCCAGGCCGAAAAGGCCAATTATCGATCGTCCGTAATAGTTCTGACGACGCACAGTAACTGACAGACGTGACTGACTGACTTCTCGTCGATTTTCCCGTGGGCACTTTCCAGCATAAAAGAGTAAGTTTACGCCCCTAATTGCCGGCAGGGTAATCCTTAATAGTCTGCCGAGATCGGCGCACCGCATTGATCATCGTGCTTGTTTGCAGAGCGACGTTGAAATCATCATGGCTCTCGCAAACAGTAAGTGAAAGCGACGAAATTAACAGTTAGCTCTGTCTCTGTGCTTTTGCATTAACCTGCTTTCTTCAATCCCGAATATAGGCCTGATGTACGAGCTCACAAATAATAGACTAAGTAGGAGCATGAGATTTGCCCGAATGGCGCTACGTTCTCCAGTCTACATACCTCAAAAACGAGAGATCATCGTCTCGTGGATCTGCCGAACCATTGAGGAGCGAGAAAGGTGAGCGATAAATCTGCAGTGTAAATTGATGAGATGTATTGCATCAATTTTGTATTACATTTATTCTACGTCGCTTGTGTGCTTGACATTGTAGTTAACGTGACGATCACGCCGTTTCTTTTGCTTTACGCAAGGTTGAAGATGACAGGCGAGGGCACTGGTGCTCTTTGGAAAATGCTACTGTCGTTGGTCAATGATATGCAGCCTCTTGAGGTTGCTATGGTTGTACAAGACTCGTTCCTACAGGTAATGAAAGTTTATTGTTTGTGCTTACGCGCTCTCTGCATTGTTTGAGTAGCACCATATATAATTGCGTTTGTGCATTAGTATCTTCAACATCTATCATACCATCGATCCTCAGTTCAAAAGTTTATATATATATATATATATATATATATATATATATATATATATATATATATATATATATATATATATATATATATATATATATATTATTTCACATGTGTTGTACAGCATGTCACCGATTTTTTTTACTTTGGTTGATCATTGTCATTCATAAATAACTGTGTACTTAACATGCCTGTTCAAGATTTGCAGAAACAAGTGACCAAGTTGAACCAAATTTCTGTTGTTTTTTTTTATCTTGGTTGATCTTGTGCTGTGTTCGTATACTTCACACACATTTCTAAGCAATTTTACAGACTTCACAGAATCACCATTATTATACCATAACTTTACACACAGTGAATTAGGATGACACATTTTTGTTTTTACTCACATAAATGTTTGAGCCAACTGGCGCACCTATAAGGTGCTAATTAACTGACAATTTTTTCTCGGGCTGACCGACACTGACAACCAGGTACATATGTCACAAGGGAAAACTCATCCATCCCAGGTAGTGATTAAACCTGCGGCGGTTGATGTCAAAAGTGTGTAGATATTTTATAAGCAGCATTTATTGGTCAGTGAAGGCACTAAAAACGTTTGAGGCCCTCCCTAAGTGTTGGACACGAGAATAGCCTTCTCGCAGACTCTTCTTGCACTCAAGGGTCTTCTTTCGCGGCAGTGTGTACAACTGTAGTTAACCACCTTCATTTTGACATTTTCAACCATTTTTTTTTTAATATAAAAAGCAGGTAGAGTAAGTTTTCTGAACACTCGTGGTCACATGAAGTCTCTTAATTAGCTCACGAGCTCGGCAGTTGTGATACTTCTCCAACTCGTCTGCTGGTGCCGCTATGCCATAAGCTAACAACTTTCATGCTGCCACTCATGAGCATCATGTGATACATCAAGTGAAGGTGGTGCCGTGGTGCTGCTCAGCACAAACGAAGGCATACCTGTGCATTTTAAGTTGCAAAAAAATATGATCTAGAAAATCTGATACATTTTAACACTAAAATAGAGACAGTTTACCTTGTGCGCAAGTAAAAGGACCAGTATGCATCTCTACTTTTTCGCCGCGTGGCGGTCTGAATGTAAGTTCTTGTGAGTTTAGTGAAGACATAAAAATATAAATTTATCCTTAATGAAAAACAAAGGGTTCGTTATAGCTAATACAGTAAGCAATGTTTCCATTAGTGGGTTTATCTCAATTATTGTTGACTGGTTGGCTGACATATACAACCATATGTCAGCAACAGCACGTTAGTATTACTCTCGTTTAGTTAATTGACGTTTGAAATATTGTTACACGACATCGGCAATGAGAGAGCATCAGATAGACGACGAAGACAGTGAATGCGATCGCGCTCGAGTTGTTGTTGCTGTTGTTCCTCCATCTTGGCTGCAGCTGCCTCTGACTCTCCCGGTATATTTTGTGAATATATTTATTTAATTCATTCCCTCACCCCCGTGACATTTGGTGGTGGTGCGGGGTACAACACGATGTAACGGAGCTCCGCAGTGGCCGACGTTTGGATTTTTCCACCATGGTAAACCAGGGACCTGCTCCCGCCGAGGCAACTACAACTGTTGTCCTTCCGCAGCTATAAGATCCTGGCACATTGTGTGGCACTGATGATGTCGACATTGAACAATGGTTGCCGTTGTATGAACGTACAAGTAAGAATTACCGCTGCGATCAAACTCTTATGTTGGCCAACATTCGGTTCTACTTGAAAGGAACAGCAAAAGTGTGAACCACAAAGAAGAAATTGGAAGCTGGGATGCGTGCAAGGAAAAAATCCGCACCCTTTTAGGCAAGTCTGTGGGTAGAAAGGTAGCGGCCGAGAAAGAGTTGGCATCTCGTGCGCAAACCTCAGCAGAGTCCTACGTGACTTACAACAGGACGTGCTCGCCCTTTGCCGAAAAGCAGACAATGGCATGGAAGAAACCGAGAAAGTAGCACACATATTGAAAGGCATTGCAGATGATGCATTCAACCTTCTCATATGCAAGGACTGCAACACAAGGTCGATGTCATCATCAAGTAGTGCCAGCGTTTTGAGGCCGCAGAAAGTCAATCTGTGCCCACCATTTCACTCGACTACCAAACACAGCAGCAACCTGGTCGTGCGAAGACGGGCCTGTACTACAGACGCCAATAATTGCAGAGCACGTGACCAAGATCATCAGATGTTAACTTGGAAGCTCTGTCTCCTGTGTCCACGTGCTCCCATGCCTGTGACTCTAGCCCTCAGATGGTGTCACTGGTACATGCCATGGTGCGACAAGAGCTTTCCCATACTTGACTGGCCTCCGAGTGCACTACAGCTCCCTCTCAGCTGATCAACCGTCGTCGACCCTCTGTTTCATATGCCCAAAGCCAAAACCTTCCGATGCGCCATCGCAATCCAGTCGAGTGGAGGACTGCTGACGGTCCTCCAATTTTTTTCAACTGCCGCTGTATCAGACACATGGTCCGCCATTGTAACACTCGGTGTTATTGGCATCAGGCATCCTATGGGTACACCCATTGTCCAGAGAGGGACCATGGACGCTTTCAACGTTACCGGGAATCACCTCAGGCCACCAGTGAAGACGTTCCTTCTACGCTGCCATATCGTCCTCGTTCTCCATCTCCGCATGCTCACCAGTCCCGTTCACAGCTCTCCCGTCGTCTCGCTCACCCCGATTTCACCGACCAACGTCGCCAACTGACCATCTGCCGCGAGAAAACTAGATGATGCTGCTCCCGGAGGTGATGCCGGCAGTTGCATGCCAAATCCTCTGACCATGCTGCCGACTCGATGCAACCTTATTGACGTTGGAGTAGATGACACACCCGTTGTTGTACTTGTGGACACAGGGGCTCACATATCAGTGATGAATTCAGAACTTCGTTGCCGCCTTAAGAAAGTTTTAACGCCACCCACAGCACAACTCATTCATGTCACTGACGGTGGCACATTTCCCGTGCTTTGAATGTGCGCCGCACGTATAAGTGTTGCCGATCGCTCTACGACAGTGCTATTTGCTGTGCTAGAGAAATGTTCCCATGAACTTATCAGTAGGCATAGACTTTTTATCCGCCCACTCTGTCCTTAATGATTGTGGAACCTGCCATGCTTCAACTTGATTCACCGTGTTACTATGACGACCGAACACCAGCTCAACCACGTCTGTGTACTGTAGATCACGTTCGTCTAGCACCTCAATTCGTTACTTACGTGAACCTGAGGTCTGTCCCTCCTGTTCCCGACGGTGACTACATGTTGACTCCTATTGCTGACGTTCTGCTGGCCAAAAATCTTGCCGTGCCTTACACACTTTTGACAGTCACGGGAAATACAGCATCTCATCTGATCCTAAACTTCAGCTGGTGCGCTCAAGTTATCCCAGATGGTATGGCTTTGGCAAAAGTTTCTTCTATCGATGCTGCCATTTCGGTTTTCGTTACTGAATATTCTTCGTCCTCTGCTCCATTCTCCTCCTCGCAGAGCGCAGCGAACGCCACCATCGACAAGATGATCGCCCCTGACCTTCCAGCACAGACAGCTGATATCTGGCACCTGCTGAAATCCTTACGTGACATCTTTGATTTTGATGACCGCCCTTTGGGTCAGACATCCTTCGTAACTCATAAGATTAGAACTGAAGACACCAGCCTCATCCGACGATGACCTTATTGCGTGTCTAATGCTCAGTGCAAGTTATCCAGCACGAAGTTGAAAAAATGCTCACAAAAGATGTCATCTGAACCTTCCTGCAGTCCATGGGCATCGCCGGTCGTGCTAGTCAAGAAGAAGGATGGCAGCTGGCGCTTCTGCATAGACTACCGTCACTTAAACAAAGTAACTTATAAGGACGTGTATCCACTGCCGCGGATTGACGATGCTCTCGACTACCTACAAGAATCTGCCTACTTTTCATCTATCAACTTTCGATCAGGATACTGGCAGATTTCTGTCGATCATCAAGCCCGTGAGAAAACTGCATTCATTACACCAGATGGACTTTTCTAGTTCAAGGTTATGACAATCGTATTGTGTAATGCTCCAGCTACATTTGAAAGGATGATGGACTCTCTCCTGCAGGATACAAATGGTCCACATGTCTATGCTATCTCGATGACATCATCATATTTTCACCTGCATTTAAAAGCCATCTTAGCCGCCTATCGGCTGTTCTTGAGGTTTTCCGGACAGCAGGACTTCAGCTCAATTCTTCCAAATGTCGCTTCGGCTGTCGGGAAATCACTGTGCTGGGCTACCTTGTCAGTGCTCGAGGAATACAACCTGATCCTGACAAAATTCGAGTTGTCAAAAATTTTCCCGTACCATGTTCCGCAAAAGATGTACAGAGGTTTATCGGCCCGTGTTCTTACTTTTGACGTTTTGTGAAGAATTTCGCTGACATTGCCCGACCACTTACGGAACTACTGAAGAAGGACATGCCTTTTTATTAGGGTACTGACCAAGCAACTGCCTTTAGCACCCTTACAACATTAATTACTTCTCCATCCATCTTGGCCCATTTTGACCCGTCAGCCTATACTGAAGTTCGTACTGATGCCAGCAGACATGGAATCGGTGCTGTTCTTGCCCAGTGGCCATGAGGATAGGATCGCGTCATCACTTACGCTAGTTGCCTCCTTTCTTCTTTGGAGAGCAAGTTTTCCATCACAGAGCAAGAGTGCCTCGCACAAGTCTAGGCAGTCGGAAAATTTCGACCATACTTGTTTGGCCGCACCTTTTCAATAATTACGGATTACCATGACTTGTGCTGGCTGTCGTCCCTTAAAGATCCAACAGGACGACTTGGTGGTTGGGCCTTGAAACTCCAAGAGTACAGCTTTGACGTGGCATACAAATCTAGCCTAATGCACCAGGATGCCGACTGTCTATCCCGTCACCCCGTGGACCCACCCGACCTTTCAGCACATGATTCTAACTCTTGTGTTTTCGCCATGTCTGCTTTCACCAACATATGCAAGGAACTGCTCAGCGATGTCCACGTGCTGTCTATCATGCAGAGTGTACCTTTGCCCCACATGGACCTGTTGCTACACTTGTTCGTTCTACGCGATGGCATTCTTTACCGACGCAACACCGGCGCCGAGGGACCAGAGCTACTACTCATAGTACCTGCGACACTCCGTTCCACTATTTCTGAACAGCTTCATGACACCCCAACCACTGAACATCTCGTGGTCACGCGCACGTACGATCGCGTGTGGCGTAGATTCTTCTGGCCAGGCCTTTATTGTTCTGTGCGCCGATACGTTGCTGCTTGTGAGTCATGCCAGCGCTCCAAACATTCCACCTTGCAATCAGCCGGTCCGCTCCAACCAATAGACAAACACACCGTTCCCTTCTACCGTGTCGGTCTCGATCTTGTTGGACCATTTCCTACTTCTCTCACTTGAAACAAGTAGATAGCCGTAGGCGCTAACTACGCCACAAAATACGCTATCACACCAGCGGTACCGAAAAGCTGTGTCACTGACATCACAGACTTCTTGCTTTATGACGTAATTCTTCACCATGGCGCTCCTCGACACTTGCTGACCGATCGCGGTTGCTCATTTCTTTCAAAAGTAGTAAGTGGCATCCTTCGCTCATGTTTGACGCGCCACAAGCTCACTACCGCCTACCACCCGCAAACAAATGGTCTTACCGAGCACCTAAATCGAACCTTGACTACAATGCTCTCCATGTACGTTTCCAAAGATCACTTTGATTGGGATAGTACTTTGCCTTATGTGACATTCGCATACAATTCGTCACACCACGACACCGCTGGCTTCTCTCAGTTCTATTTAATGTTCGGTTGCTTATCCAGCGTTACGCTTCGAGGCTCTTCTCCCATGAACTATGCAAACGATTACAGAGTACGCCCAGGATGCCACTGCTCAAGCTCAAGTGGCCCGCCAAATCGCACGGGAACGTCTTCTTGGCTTGCAGCTCTCTCAGAAGGCCTGCTACGATAGCGATCACAGAGTAGTTCCCTACTCTTCAGGTTCATTGACCCTCCTCTGGACACCATGCCGTCACGTTGGCCTCTCTTCGATCTGTCTCGCTACTCGGAGCCTTACAAGGTTTTACGCCGGCTTACTGAGGTCACATATGAGATTGCTCCATTGGACAGTCAGTCGTCGTCATCCACGTGTCCCGTCTGAAACCATACATCTCCGCATATGATTTTTCTCTCCTTTAGGCGTCGAGACAGCGCTACTGGCGGCGGGGGGCTATATGTTACACGACATCGGCAACAAGAGCATCAGGTAGACGACGAAGACGATGAATGTGATCGTGCTCGTGTTGTTGTTGCTGTTGTTCCTTCATCTTGGCTGCAGCTACCTCTAACTCTCCGTGTATATTTTTAGGTGGTGGTGGTGGTGGTGGTGGTGGTGGTGGTGTTGCAGCAGGCGGGGTTAGCCTGGCCTGCATGGCCGGCAATTGTTCCGCCTGAGCATCTCCTGAATTTGGAAAATGTCACCACGTGTCAGACAGCCCAGTGTCTCGCAGGAAGACCAACAAAGTTCGTTGCACGTTCCTCCTAGTTGCCGCGGGTCCTTCAGGAAAGATGATGTCATCAACTGTCCGGTGCCTATGACAGCCTTTTCGCAAGGTGCGGATCATCGCTGCTCTTTGCGCATCAAACTGTGGGCAAAGCCAAATGAAATGTTCAATATCCCCGATGTCACCACAGAAGGCACAGAACGGGGAAGCGTATCTCCCAGTCTTGAATGACCAGGCCGGGGTGTATGCGGAGCCGGTTCTAATGCGGTACAACAGCGTCGCTTCTTCACGAGAAAGTCCATGAATGACACATGCTTGGTGTGGAAACTTGTAGATCGCCTTGAAATGATTGCGTATCACATCTTTGTTGTTCTGGTAAGTCTTGGGAGTTCTTACTTTTGGAAACGATGTACGTGCTTCGCATGCAAGGGCATCAGCCTTTTCATTGCCCTCAATGCCAACGTGGGATGGGATCCACTGGAACTTTATATTAAAACTCTTGCTATTTAGGTGTTTGATTAGTGCCAGAGATTGCCTGGTGAACTTTTCTTGAGGTAGGCCACGATGCAGTCTTTGTAGCGCCGATTTGGAGTCCGTCAGCACTACAACATCTCGTGCAGAAAAGGATCGCAGTTTTCGCAAAGCCGCCGTAATTGCAGCGCTTTCTACCGTTGTGGACGAAACCACGCGATCCAGGCGGCCCGACCATGACACGCCCAGGCTGGGTATGCAGAAAGCCGCTGCGCAGCTATCAGTCTGTGTGCACGCTGATCCGTCGGTGTACACTTGTAGGTGGCCACGGTACATGGTGCTCAAGTGGTCCAGCGCAAGAAATTTTGCTTCCGCGGCTGGAATGGTGCGCTTCGCTCGTAGATTGGGTACGCTGAAGTTGCACGCAACATCCACAAAAGACCATGGCGGGTCCGTAGGGCGCCGTTTAGGCAGTTTCAAGCCTAAATATTGAAATGTGTTTAGTGCCGCGTTGAAATGTGAGCCAGTTCTTGCTCTTAGCCGCCGGAGAAGCGCCGTGCCTGCGAAGGACTCGCCCAGTCTTGACAGCTGCGTCAATAAGGCCTGAGACGCCAAAAGGCGGAGCGGAAGAGACTCGGCTTCATTGGTGACCTTCGTGTTTGAAGCCGCCTGAGGGACTCCCATCGCCAAGCGAAGACCCTTTCTGTGCACTGCCTCTAGGCGTTCGAACTGGCTTGGTGATGGTGATATCAGGGGCAGCTGATAAAGAATGCGGCTTGTTATAAGCACATCATTCAATTTAAGCATGGACATAGGATTGTTGCCCCAACAGACCCCTGCCATGCGACGAAGAGCGTTGATCCTTTGCACTGATGCAGTTACTATACCATCAACCGCACGTCGCCATAATAGCTTGTTGTCGATGGTAATGCCCAGGAAACGAACACTTGTTGCACAACGAATCGAGTGGCCTCGAATATTCAGCGACAGACGTGTTGACTTCCGTCGCACTCCCGGGAAGAGCATGAAGGCCGACTTTTCCGCTGATAAAGATAGGCCAAGTGTCAACAAGTGACGCTCAATGATTGAAATAGCGCTCTGTGCTATCCGGGCCAAACGTTTGTGCTGGTACCCTGAGATCCAAATGCAGATGTCATCGGCGTAGATGGATATTTTAACTGCTTTCAGAGCTGAGTGCAGAGTGTCGGGAAGCCTGGCCATGGCAGCGTTAAAAAGCAAAGGAGATAGAACACTTCCTTGTGGGACGCCGAGGGAAACGCGTCTCTCTTCGCTCGTTACATTTCCAAGCTTAACACGGACACAGCGGTCTCTGAGAAATTCATGTACGAACCGAAGAGCATTTCCCGACACACCCATGGCTTGGAGCCCGTGTATATTTTTAAATATATTTATTTCATTCATTCCCTCACCCTCGTGGCAATATTTTGCATGAAGCATGTCTGCCTCTTCGTAGGGTTCACATGAGATGGAATTGCACTGTATGCCCCTGGTGGAGTTTGCCTTTTAATAACCTTGGTATTTTGTGACAGGTGCCAGTTGACCTTAGTGTTCTACAGCTGTGTGCAAACTTCAATAGGTTGATGCTATGGTGGCTGCATAAAAAAGGTGATTGGCAGGTATTATAAAAGCTTATGTCGGTCTATTTACATGTGTAATAAAAATCCTGAAGCGAATAAACTCTTGCAGAGTCATCCACGACTTGTTGTCTCTCTCAAGGTCCAGTTGCCACTGTGAAACTGGCAATATATTGAATCGATTAATTATTAAAGTGCACTACAAGTTTCCATATAAAAAAAAAGGATAAATTTTTCTCTACCTGGCTAGTAAAACTTGTTGCTGGGCAAGTTGGCACATGCTTACCAAAAAAAAAAAAAAGAAGAAGACGCAAAACCACTTTGGAAGGATTGAGAGAGGACTTTGATGTTTTTCTTTTCTTTTTTTCTGTCTCAAGTCCTTCCTTGATAGTTAAACGTCCTTTTCTATTGTTATCTGGCCTCACATGCCTCTAATTTGTGACAGCACTGTGTATGCTTTTATGCATTTGGAAAGGGAAGCTCAGTACAAGTACCTGAATGCTTTACTCATGCAGGTGATCCAGGAGAAACTTGAACAACTTGCAAAGACTGATTATGCAGAATGTCCTGCTGGAAACAATGACTGCTCTTATCCAGAAAGCACCACAGAGTACACTGATCCTGAAGCTACCAGCATTGGTAAGACCTTGATGCCTGAGCTGCCACACATAGTGCACTGGCTGTCTTGATCCACCCCTTAGGCTTCGTGACAAAACACATCTTGTGGTTAGCAGACACTGATATTGTTCAAAATCTCAGCTAAGCCTTGCAGTCATGCAGTTTGAAATGAGTGCTTGTTCCTCTTGCGTCCCTGTCTGTATTGCTCAATGCGAGTACTCTTCACTTACCACAGCTTAGTGTTAAAAGCTGGAACTGTATTTCAAAAGTGGTGATATAGTATCCAAGTCATGTTACCAGTTGCGAAAGCTTCTGTTTCGATCTCTATTTCGCCTCTATTTCGAAAAACGATTCCCGCTCTTTTTTTTACGTGTAACCAATCCTTCTTTCACATGCTGTAACACAAAGTCATCAATCAGTGACTTGACACAACACAGCTCGTCGAATGGTCCAAGCCAGGCAAAACGATGGGCTACACCTTCCCCTCCTTGTGAAGGAGAAGAGTGGCAAGGCCGCGTGAAAACTTGACACCAGCTGAAACCGATGTTCTAACCTCTGTAACTTCTTTAAAGGGGCCCTGCAGCACTTTTTGAGCAGGGTCAGAAAGCGCTGCCGATTGGTAGTAGAGGCTCCCGACAACACACGAGCCAAATATAGCACAGCACGGGGCCTGGAATTCACAATAAATTTTCAAAGTCAGCTGGAAATTCCTTCATCTTCTCTCTACAAATCACGGAATAAGCCCGAAAATCGCTCATAGTTAGCCCATCTATCAGCCATTGGCTGACTTGAACATGGCGCGCTCGGTCGTTACAGAGATTGTTGTGGGAGGCCCCGACTTGTCCATGCGTGTGTGCAGGATCACACTGAAAAAGCCGCTCATTCAACGAAAAAAGTGCTCAAGGTCAGTAGGCGTGCGTGACGTTTTTTGTTTGCCCCTCCCATCGCTCCCTGTTTAGCTTCCAGCACTTTCGTCGGGACGAGAGAAAAGAGAATGCGATTGCAGCGTGTGACAAATCTTTGTAATTCCGCTTGTACTGGACAGACTCTTAAAATTTTTGCGGCGTTGAATTCGTAAGAAAATAAGCTCTTTCCGAGATTTCATTCCATGGTTACTTAAAAAAAATGTTTCAGTGCCCCTTTAATATATCGTGTTTTCACAAACTTGTGGCATTATGTTCTCAAAGAAAAAGTGCACATATATATTTCTCTTTATAACGGTTTTTGTACCTCGGGATTACTTACTGACTGTTTAACGAACTGTTCATCTATTGCTTACATTTGACCAGTTTCCTGCAGCGTACTAATTCTGTCAAAAAGAAATGCATGCTTGTCAATTACTATAAATAGCATACAATGTCATTGTGAGACCGACATAGGCCATTGTACTTGTTGGTACATGTAGTGCATTATGAGGTTAAATAACAGTCACCTTGTCAACCCAGGTGGCGCTCCTGTCTGTAACACTGAAACAGTGTCGCCTGTGTATAAAGAAGGCGGCATTGCTTGACCATTTGTGCTTCACCGCATCTGCATTGATGGAGGTTGTCTTAGCACCCTGGTATCAAAATCCATGCAATACGCAGGTATGCAAAATCTTTACTAAAACTAAATAATTTTGATCTCATTGCTTGCTTGTCCATCTTTAATTGGCCATGAGAAATGGCAGCATAAAAGTGCTGTTTTCTTTCCGACCTTGTAATTTTTGTACAACAAATTAACACAAAAGAGACGGAAATGAGACTTTGTTACGGTTGAGCCCACATAGAACAAATTATTTGGTGTATTGAGCATTTGTAATGTCCCAAGAATATATTTTGGGCATGTAAAATCTTTATATATCAAATTACCTGTGCATAGAACTCTTTTGTCATCCCCTTCAGGTTCGATATATTTGAGTTCGGCTGTGTAGTATTACATAATAAGTTGCTCTAAACTATGGCTTCTCGCAGAGCTACGTGTACACAGTGTCCCGTTGTGTGTGTGCTTTAGCATTTACCTCGTTCTTGTCGCACTGTAATATAATGAACTTGTACCTACATGCCCAGTTCACTGTTTTCTGTATCATGCTTATCGATCTAATAGAACTGGAGCTTTTAGGGTGCTGATGTAGAAATCTGCAACCTTCGTTTCCTGGCAATTTATCCAGTGTTGTTAAATTATACTTCGTTGCTACATGTGCCATCTAGTTTACTGTTTTCAAGTGCTGTAAATGCTATAAATAGAAGTTAAATTTGCTAATCGTTGTCAGCACTTTCATCTTGACTCTATGTAGGGTGGTCACACTGCTCAAAGACATCTATAGCATGAAACATTACTGCGAAAATAGTTTGCCACTCCCAGAACATAAGTAGAGTATACTCTCAATAAACCAACATCTCTTAAACAGGCGTGCAATCCAGAACGATTCTATTCCTTTATTCTACATTTTTCGTTGCCATCGCCGTCTGCGATCGGTCGAAGTGGCCTTTCGACCAATGGCAGACGGCTAATTGCGCACTTCGACCAATGGCAGATGGCTAATGGGGACAAAAAGCATAGTGTAATAGAATATAATCGTTTCGCAATTGCACCCCAGAAGTACTAAATAAACGGAACAGCTGTCTCTGATATTATTGATTCCGTACCTGAATTCTACACCACTGTTCTGATCTCAGTAAACGGAACTTCTGTTAAATAGAACATGCTATTTTTCTGCTCCCTTAAGGAGGTTGCAAAAAGGTAGTCAGGCTGTTTGCAGCTATTTCTGTGTGAATTTGTGTGCATTTAATAAGACTTTGTACATATCCGCATGTATGCCTGTTCATTTCTCTACTTCTTCTCATTTTTGAAAGTAAATTTCTTGCAGGAGGCATTTGGTCATCTCAAGCCGTTGCTCGGCAACATGATGTACATTTTGCACTTCAAGAAAGCAGGATCATCAGAAGCTGTACAGAAGGTGCACAAAACGATAAAGAAATTTGTGCACGTCTGCTTCTTCCAGAGGTTTGTAGCATGTTGATATTCAATTATTTAAACGGTCACCTCTTAAGGTATAGTACTCATGACTTGAAATAGGGACAACTCAGGGCTAAGTAAAGCATTTACTTTCGTTTCCAGTTGTCTTCAGTTTGGGTCGTATCGACGCAATATCAACTTAAAACTGGCAGATCAGAGCGGGACATTATCTTAAAGACCAGATTCGTTGCGACAAGACGCGAATTATTTCGAGCCATAGCACATTCTGGTCGTTATACGAGAAAATTTAATATCTTGTTTGAATCCATGAGTGCTATACACATTTAAGTGTGTTTGTGTGGAAATCACTCTGCAGAACATATGGGTGGGTGTGCATTGCAATCGACAGTACCACAGTGTTGAAGCTAAGTACTGTACATTAGTAGCATTGGCCAAATAAACTGTTTTGGATGGCAAAATGTGCAATGTACAAGCATCTGAAATAGAAACTTGCAGCTTTCTCAAAGGCACTATAAAAAGAAAAATAATTTATGTCATATTAGTAAATTTATTTTTCATGATACCAAAAACACCATGATTGCTGCGAGAAGACGCTTGGTTAGCGAGAAAACACACAGGAAAATGTGGGTGGCTAAGCCTTTTTGAAGTACCTGCAAGAGTCACCATGATTTCATGGATTTTGACAGTGTGGGTGATGGCTGCATAGTTCTTAATCGGTAAAAATGAAGCGCATTGTCATCTGAGGGAGATAGGCAAGTTTGACCGAAATATGGAAAAACACTATGAAATTCGTGATGTCATAATTATAGACTTTGGCCAAAAGTTTAAAAATGATGCTTTTGATGTTGATATTTTTCATCTATTGGTACATCTATGTAGGAAAATTTAATGATACTCAGATTACAGATAATTTACATTACAGAGTAATGATTAATGATCACAGATTATTGATTCTCAGATTACAATATAATTTCTCAATCTAAACTAATTTATTGCTTCTCTATAGTGTGCCTTTGATATGTGGATAGCTAAATCGTGGCACACGCAAAGGATTATGGGCTACGACGCCCGTCTACATCGACTTCTGGTTCGAGACCTATGTTGCCGTACGAGCATTCTTGCCTGTCCTGCCACTTTATGCGTGTTCCACCTAGCACTTGCGGTGCCTTTTTCTCACAAATTCCTGCATAATACTCTGGAGTGCTATGCTGCTTAAAAAACAAATGCAGTCGCAACGAAATAATTTTAATGGTGCAAGCGATAGTTTTTTCATCCAAACAGCATGCACCTCCGGACAAATGCGTTGTGGAGAAGCCTCCGAACACTGAAATGGGTCGAACTCTCAAGTGCTTTCTAGTGGGTCTACCCAAAAAAGGACACCGCTCGCGCTGAAAGTCCGTGCTTGGCCGTTACTGACGCCATTGTGTATGCTCGCTGTGTACCGGCTAATAAACGCCCTCACAAATTGGTGGAGAGTGCTACGATCCCCTTCGATGCCCTTGGAACTACGATCACGTACCCTGCCATTTACCATGTCCCACGACGCCTCTCAGCGAACGCCTCCCCCCGTGTCGCCCCCTTGTCCCAGTGTCCCCAGGATCCGCGATCCACCCATCTTCACGGGTGCTGATGGCACTGACGTGGAGGACTGGCTCGCCATTTACGAATGCGTGAGCGTCCCCAACAAATGGGACGAGGACGGAAAGTTGACAAACTTGGTGTTCTTCCTTGCGGGCGTTGCAAGTTTGTGGTATAACAACCACGCGTTCGATTTCACAACCTGGTCCGATTTTAAGACTGCTATCACCAACGTTTTTGGCCGCCCTGCCGTTCGTAAGCTGCAAGCCGAGCAGCGCTTATGCGAACGCGCTCAGCAGTCCGGTGAATCATTCACCAGTTACATTGAAGATGTCCTGGACCTGTGCAAGAAATCCAACAACAGCATGTCCGAATCAGACAAGATCCGGATTGTCATGAAGGGCATTGACGATGATGCCTTCACGATGCTGCTTGCCAAAAACCCAGGCACAGTAGCTGAGGTCATCACGCTGTGCCAGAGCTACGAGGAACTCCGCCGGCAGTGTTCGATGATCCGTCGCTCTACACCACGAGATGCAGGGCTTGCTGGCTTGGAGGCGAGATGTGATCAGGTGGCGCTGCTGGCAGACCTCAAGTCCTTCATACGTGAGGAAATCGCGCGCCAGTTCTCTCTCCTTCTCTTTGCCCACTCACCGGCTGTTCAACAATCGGCAACTACCATTCTTCCACCCATCCGCCGAGCGATTTAGCTGGAAATAGCGGAGGTCATGCCTGCGTACCACCTACAACAACTTCCGGCCCCTGCGCCCCCAAGTTACGCCCAAGTGGTCGCCAGGCCGCCTCCAGTCTTTCAAGCGCCTGCACCACTGACTTACGCCGAAGCTGCCGCACGACGTCCGTCCTTTGCAGCGGGTATGCCGGCTGCGTATGTTGGCGCAACCCCTCAGCCTAATTTTCAGCCCACCATGCAGCCTTTTCAGCCACCGTTCCGGGCGAGACTCACCCCGGCGAACCGATGGCGCACACCCGACAACCGGCCCATCTGCTTTGCCTGCGGTTACGCCAGCCGTGTAGCACATTATTGCCCTCGTTTACAGACCCCTCCTATCTCATCGCCTGTTGCTGGCCACATCAGACGTCCCTATCACGACAGACCGCCGTCTATGCCACCGCCGTCTCACCTAGCTCCATCTCTTCAAGGTCACCGTCTCCACGACGTCGTTCCCCATCCCTCATGCGGCCAAGTTCAGCTGCTCATGAGCGGGAAAACTAGTCGTCGCAGTCCCGAGGCAAGGGCTGCGGCGCTATCGCATTGTGAAAGCCCTCAGAGCCGCCCATCTAATGTCATTGACGTGCTTGTGGACGGTGTTCATGCATCTGCTCCTATTGACACAAAAGCTGCCGTATTAGTTATGGACGAAAACTTTTGCCGCTTGTTTCGAAAAGTGATGATGCCAATTTCTGGGTTGTCCCTTCGTACCCCTAGTTCGCATTGTATTCATCCTACAGCAGGCTGCACAGCTCACGTTGTCGTTTAGGACGTTTGTATGTCGCCCAATTCGTCATTCCTGTATGCTCTCATGACGCCATCCTGGGATGGGATTTTCTCTCCCGCAACGACGCCGTCATCCATTGTGCCGCCGCCGAAATTGAACTCTCACCCTCCTCGTATTTGACAACAGAAGACAGTCCCTCGGCACTGAGCAAGGTTCTCGTGAAAGACGATACCATAGTGCCTCCAAGCTCGACAACGAGTGTATTGGTCTACTGCGCCGGTCTCTCCGGCACAATTGCACTCATTTCTCCATCCGACCGTGCTTGCAGAAGGAAAGGGTTGCTAGTACCTTTCGCGACCGTGCAAATTGCCCAGGGCAACGCCGCTATTTTTGTGACCAACCCATCCCTGTACACTCTTACCTTGGTTCGAGGGGAATGTCTCGGCAGAGTGGAACCAGTCGAAGACACACAAGTCCTGGACGTACCCGATGATTCGCGTTGTCCCAATACGTGTACCGTCAGTGCTGTTTTCACTTCTGATCCATCATCTCCTGATGTATTTGACCCCTACATTGATGACAACCTTACGTTGGTACAGCATTCCCTGCTTCTGGACCTGTTGCAAGAATATCGTTCTTCTTTCGATGTCGGGCGAAGTTCTGTTGGTCGCGCGTCCACTGTTACGTATTGTATCAACACTGGTGCACATCCACCATTACGGCAACGTCCATACCGCGTGTCGCATGCTGAACGTCGGGAAATTAACGAGTAGGTTGACGATATGCTCCGATGCGACGTTATTTGGCTCTAGGACAGTCCATGGGCGTCTCCTGTTGTTCTTCTTCCGAATAAAGATGGTTCTGTGCAGTTCTGTGTGGACTACAGTTGGCTCAGTAAGATCACTCGCAGTAAGATCACCCACTGCCTGCACATCGATGACGCAATCGACAGCCTTCACAAAGCTGAATTTTTTTCTTCTCTCGATGTGCGCTCGGGGTACTGGCAAGCACCCATGATGGGTGATGATGCTCAACCAAAGACTTCCTTCATCACACCCGACGGCTTGTACGAATTCAACGTCATGTCGTTTGGTCTCTGTAATGCACCTGCGACCTTTGAGCGCATGATGGACACCGTTTTGCGCAACTTGAAATGGCACATGTGCTTGTGTTACTTCGATGACGTTGTTGTCATCGCTTCAGATTTCTCCACGCATCTCCAACGTATGAAAGAAGTTTTCGCACGTGTGAGCAATGCTGGCTTGCAACTAAATCTGAAGTGCCGCATTTCAGCACGGCAAATCACCATCCTAGGGTACGTCGTGTCCAAAGATGGCATTCTTTTTGACCCAGCCAAGCTTCGGGCCGTGGCTGAATTCCCCAAACCTGCATCCGTCAAAGAACTGCGTAGTTTCGTGGGCCTGTGCTCATACTTCCGATGCTTCATACGAAACTTTGCCACGAATCGTATCACCGCTGACAAAGCTCCTTGGAAGTAACGGGCCCCTCAATTCATGGTCGTCCGAGTGCGACGACGCGTTCGCGAAGCTCCACCATTTATTGACGTCTCCTCCCATTCTATGCCACTACGACCCTACGACCCCAACGGAGGGGCACACGGATGCCAGCGGTGTAGGCCTCGGCGCAGTCCTGGCGCAGCGCAAATCTGGATTTCCTGAATATGTTGTGGCATATGCAAGCCGTACGCTCACGAGAGCCGAGACAAACTACACCGTCACAGAAAAAGAGTGCCTGGCGAACGTCTGGGCCCTTACAAAGTTTCGACCTTATGTGCATGGTCGCCATTCGATGTCGTCATCAACCATCATGCACTATGCTGGCTGTCATCATTGAACGATCCCTCAGGCCGTCTCGCCTGTTGGGCTCTTCGCTTACAAGCAGACGATGCGTCATTTCGCTATCGACCTGTTGACTAGCTGTATGCTGACCTTCTTAAGTTGTCACCATCTTCCATAAAAAGTTTTACAGCTGTTTTCCAAAAATTATAATTATGCTTTTTGGCTTATAGAGCCTAGGTAAATTTAAACTATAAAATATTGAAATTGATAAAAATGTAAAAAGATACACTTATAAAATCAAAATGTGCCAAAATATTCATGTTGCGCCAACAGTCATGACTACAAAGTAGGTGGTGCGATAAAAATGAGACTAGGCAGGGCAGTAGTGAGAAAAATATCCTGTGTATTTAACCTTCACAATCACCACATTTCTAAGCTGAGGTAGATTATCATAGAGAGGCTATCACAAAAACATATTTTTAAAAATGTATTTCTGAAGAGGGGAACATACCTTAATGAATTAATGAAAATTTTGTGTGCCCAATTTTCCTAAGGAAGGTACTCCTCATGAAAGCTTCATAGAGCTACAATAGGAATTTGGTAGGTAGTACAGAAAAAAAGCTTTACAATCGAGAAAGAGCTCACTCGTGTTTGTTTAATAATTTCAGTACCGCTTCTTTCTCAGGGAAAATTGTGCTTCCAAACAAGCCAGAATTCTACAGGATTGCAAAGTGTAAATGGAAATAATTACTTGGATAGTTAACCTAATGCTAAGATGAGTTAAAAACTTGAAGTGTAGCAGTATGAATTAATGACACTGTCTCTGTGAAGTTCCATAAGTCTTTGCACATAGAAAGAAGGTGCTAGCAATTGGCGCTTACTTGTCAACACTTGTATAAATGATTATAGACTGCTGTCTCTCTTGAGAGATTTGTTTCCTTGTGCGAACTAGAAGCATGGTGTATAGCAGAAGTCAGTTTACATTGCTTATTATGTTTTTTTGGTGGCCCTTTGGACAAACAGGAGCAACGTGAATACCTGGCTGATAGCTCTGTATGAGTATCTACGCATAGATGGCTGGAACGCTGTAGTCCCTTTCAGCAAAGAACAGCTGGAGGAATTTAAAAAACGCAAAGGGAAAGGAGAAGACGATGAACCTGAAGATGAGCCTGCAGATGGAGATGTAAAAGTAGATGAAAAGATGATTGAAAAGCTGCAGGCTGAGCCCCATAAACAGAAAATAGCGCAGAAGGATGATGAGTACCTGCTGGAACAGCTCATGGAATTCCTCAGCAATGTACTCAAAGAAGAGAAAGTGAGTAATCCTTTTTGAAAGATGCCTGGTGAATGGAAATGTGTTCTTGTGCTCCGATCTACTGCATTGACGTGTCATTGTAACTATGTTAAGCGGGGTGTCGTGGGGCTAAGCTCAAGGGCGTGGGTTCGTTTCTTAGTCACTGCAGATACATTTTTTAGGGTTCTAAAATGCAAGAACACATACGTGCCAGGTTTAGGTGCACATTAAAGGGTGTCGCGATATGTTATCGCCTGGCGCGTGTTGCTTGAGTTAAGTGGGATGAACGCACGAAGGGGACACGGCGTGTGGCACAAAAACACCCTTCATTACACACTCAACCACATATATACATACAGAAGACTAACAGTGTTTAAAAACAATTCAGTCCCTCAAACCACGTCTAGCTAAGGTCTGTCTAAAAACTGACGGTGACTTTGCACAGTTGGACGCTGTCAAAAGATCATCGCTTGGTGCATGACTCGGCAGCAATGTTGGGAGGTGCCTTTCTGGTGAAGCTCGTTGCTGGCGAGGAGACGCGTGCCACTAGGCACTCCTGGCACACCCAGCCTCCTCAGGCCCATGTGCCGTTGACGTAGCAGGCGGGCGTCTGCGAGCCCAAGCACATTGAAGATCGGCGTCGCGGCGCTGACCTGTCCCCGCCACTCGCTGCACCGCCCGCCAGCTGGACGACCGGAGCACAAAGACGGTAGCTCGCCGAGGTGGATACTCGGGCGGCTCTCGACGCGTTGCAGTCCTGGGGCAGGACCCAGGCTGCCTCGATAGGCTGGACGATCGGAGCGCAAACACGGTAGCTCGCCGAGGTGGCAACTCGGGTGGCTCTCGAGGCGTTGCAGTCTTAGGGCAGGACCCCCGATCATTCCCTGTCTTCTTCTCCTCTGCGCGCTCTCGTCCAATGTGGTGTCCCCACGTACACTTCTTTTTTCTCTTCTTTCTCCCAGTTTTTCTCTTTTGGCCTCTCGCCCATTTGTTCTCTTGTCTTGCTCTTTTTTTCCACTTCATTTGTCATCCCTGACAAAGGGACACTAATGAGAGAAATTGCTTTTCTAATATTAGTAAACGAAACTCTCGTGATTATGAAAGAGCCACACTTTGCCACGAGAAGACACGGTTGTAAAAGGCAGGGCTTGCAAATGCGGACTCTAGAAAGAAGTGCAGACACCAACTAAAAGCTTCAAAACGCAGAACAGGGGTAAGGAAAAGAGACACAAGAGCTTATCTTCGGATGTCCACACAATAGGTGAACTTATCAATGCAGCATGCATGTAGGACTATCTGACAGATAACTGTTACGGCACCAAGTTGTATGTGCACAAAATTAGTGCCAGTCCTCTCGCACAGGTTACGTGCCTCTTAGATGCAGGTTACCCTCACGTTGCAGTGGCCGCTGCTGCTGAATGTTTAAAGTTAGTTTTGCTTGATCTGAGCACGGCTACACATAACGATAAGAAAATATGTGTCGTAGGTATTCCTTACATTTATTGCGTATCTCTCAGGTTAAAAGAAATGGGGTTAATGGCGTTAATGTTGTTTTTATGGCTGCCAATAAGCAAGGCAAGATTTTCACTACTGCTCAGAAAAATAAAGAGCGAGTAATGGACAAGAAGCGGGCTAATGTTTGTTTCGTAAAACACTCCAAGAAATTCGCTGATTGCCATAATGGTGTAGTGTTTAACGTCCTTTTTAGCTGTGGCCGCTTCTACGTAGGACAGACGAGCCTGTGTTAACCGGTGATTATTGGAACATAAGAGATCACTAACCAGAAATTCACCTTCTAATTGTTCTTTACTTGGTTGATAGTGTGAGGGCATGCCAAAGTTTGATGAATATGCAGTTTTTGGCTCGCACAGAAATAATGCAACACATTTAATGATTGAGGCAGGGCATATCGATAATAGTGATAGTATATGCGTGAGTCAACTATTGATTAGCTTGCAAAAAGAAGAAGTCCAATGTCTTAAGGGTACCGAGAGAAAAACATTGGCCTTATGTATTTTTTTTCCCCTGTAATTTGTTGCTGGGAGCCTGTTAGTCACAGCACTGCACATCATTTGCTGCAGCATGCAACAGATAAATAATTACAGGCTCTTCATTACCGACCAGTCTCAGTTTCAGTTTGAGAGAGCTTCCAAAAACAAGCCACCTAGGTGCAACTACCACTACTGGCATGTGCAACGCTTGACCTCACCAGCACACAGAACTGCTATGCGCTTCCACACAGTACGCATGAAGAAGTCCTTTCTAAAAGGAAAACGGTACGGCAGTGTCACTAAGCACAATACTTTAAACACCTGTGCATTGGCCATGAACTTGCGAGCAGTCATTGGGTAGTAGTCTGCTGCAGGAAACGGGGCAAAAAAAAAAGGAAATGACGGCTATGGCGTAGTCATAACTTGTATTAGCTGCAGCATCGTGACGTGAGAGAAGTAGGGGATCATTGGGTAGTCACTTTTGAGGGTGTCGATCAGGCACACAAACTTCAAGATTCATGAAAAGTACCTTCCAAGCCATATTTGCTATTCATATTTTGCATATGATATATACACATATTCCCAGGAATCAATCCCACTGGCCATCTCAGCTGCAAAATTTTGTGTCAGTACTCCTTTAACACTAACATGTCACGTAGTCCTGCATGCACGTCAAATTGATAGATTGACCTATTGCATAGGCATGTGCAGAAATATTTCGACGCCTTCTTTCTTTTCTGTTGTTGTGCCTTTGTAGTTTGTCGGCAGCATCTGTGATGTCTTGACATATTTCTTATGTCCGTTTTTGGACGTCCTGACTTTTAGAGTGAATACTGACCACCTAGCTCAGCTCTGTGTTATTTTAGAATGCTTGGTAAGGGAGAAAATGGGGAATAAGATGCAAGTATAGCTGTGCCACATTTAAATTCCTGCACCAAATATTGAGACGTTTTGGTTTTTGATGGTATGCAACAGATCCTATGTACTGTAGACTCTTGTTAAATGGAAACAGAAAGGACCAGGAAAATGTGTTCCATTTAAGAGGAGTTCAGTTTACTGAGAGATGAACAAGAGTGGAGAATCCAATCATGCAACTGATTGTGCTGAATTCGTGATTGTGCTGGAATCGTGAAACTGATTGTGTTCCATTTAAGCAGCAGTTCTGTTTAACAGATTTGAGTTTACTGAGAATCTACTGTATTCCCCAGTCAGTAAATGTTAAGTACATTATTCTCTGTGGGGGGGGTCATAAGTTGTACATGCAAGGCTTTAATAAATTTTGTTGAGTCAGTGATGCGAAACTGCAAATAACTGAACTTTAAAGTCCATCATAACACATGGGGTGATTTTAGTGCAAAATTTTAAAAGGAAACTTTCACCATGATTTCAACCTCTATTAATGCACCTGTGATGGTGAAATTAACAACATTGGAGTTCTCAGAGTCTAATTTATCAATCCTATTCAATTCATTCGTTTACTTTATTGCCCCTTTAAAAAGCTTTACGGGGTTGAAATCAATCCAAAATTTTCCTCTATGGTGTGCCTCGTAATCGTATCATACTTTTTCCATGTGCAATCTTCGAAATTTGAAAACAAACTGCTACACCTTTTCTCTCTCTCTCTCTCTTATTGTGCATGCATGTTGGCATATACATGCTTATAAGTTGGATTCGAACACATTTTGATGCTCCAAAATTAGAGTTGCACATACCAAAACAGCGCAATATGTGATGGGAGCCAATATGACCCCAGATCAGTTTAGATCATTTGTAATTTCATAACATGTACAGTACTCATTGACTGAAACAGGACACTAAGTAATACTCATATTTTTCTTTTCCTTCGTTTTGAGTTTGGGTCGTATCGACGTAATTTAAATTTAAACGTGTAGATTAGAGCCAACATTACTTTTAGAGGCCAGATTCTTCCCGAAATGACGTAGCTCTCTTCAGCAGTTGGGCATACCAGCCGTCCTACCAAAAAAAAAAACGTGGCTCATCCCCCTATATAAAAATTAGTAAACACAAAAGTGAAACGTGTCTTTACAGAAGTAGTTGAGTGTTTATTCTGCATTGTTTCAGCAACAGAAACAAATTGCAGTCACGTTAGGAATGGCAAGGAGATGTAAACTTGCAGCACACAACTCAAGTGGAAAGCACGCACGGAATTAGAATACAAAGGATGAGCACAGACTAACAACTGTCACAGCTCGACACTTATAGAGCGGGGTTCAAACAGAAAGACGCACGAGACGAGTGCACAAGTATACATACACAGCACAATGCGCCAGAAACTCACAATTCTTCCTGCGTCATGTGTCAGCAGCGCGCTCCTTTCGTAAACGCGGCCGTGGCAGCATGCAAAGTGACCTTTGCCAACCCCTTAATTACAAGTCTCAGAAGCACACGCACAGGGAGAGACCACGCTCTGTGAAGGCGGTACTTTAGTGGAGGCGACAACCTTGAGAGCACGCTCAACATGAGCCTGTCACGCCATCTCGCCACTGATAACGAAAACGCACTGAAGTTTTAGGACTGTCAAATGGTGCATGGTGTATATAAATGACTTACTGTTAGCATCCCGGACAATGTACGTTCTGTGGCGTAGTTGTTAGCACCGCACAGCTGGAAAATGGGAGGTTACTGGTTTGATTCCGCGCAACAGATGCTTGTCTCCTGGGTTTTTTCTTTGCAATCTCGTAGCATACATTTTTCAATGTCACTTCCGTGATGAAAGTACATCAGTGGAGCCATGGTTGACCCCGGCATAAAACAGTTTTTGGATAAAATTTGATGTCGCTTTCGAATTCGTGGGTACTGTACCTAAATCTAAGCAGACAATTTTGTGTGCAACTCACCTATGGATGAACCTCGGATGCCATAATTGGGAATGAATACTGAAAGTGTGGGCTTAGCAGCAGAATCATGTGCTTACTCAGCGATCATGACAAGTGGTGAATTATTCTGGTTGTATGAGAGGCAGGCAGCGTGCCTTGGAAGATGTATTCCCGCCCTGCCAGTTTGGTTGGGGATAGGACTATCAGAAGATTGAATGTTTTGTGAATGTTGATACTCTTAGAAAGCAACAACTAATTTTCTTTACTGCAATCCAGTATTTTGGCACACCTGAGCTACCCAGTAAGCAAGGTTCTGTAATTAAAAATGCTGGTTTGTGCAGTGGAGAAACAGAATAAATGCCATTGTTAATTGTATAGGATTGCTGGCATAAGCGTAGTATTCTATGTATTGGCCTAAGTGCTGCTCTTTCACTGAGAGGGACAGGCAGGAAACAGGGCTTATTCTATTTAAGGCACAATAAATTATGAGAAAAGTATGTGCACCATAACTTGCCTTCTTGATTCGACTACTATGAAGTTTTAAAACTGCATGCATATGTGTATTTGAGTCTGAAAGACGATTTTAGTTGGCAGGCAGGCAACTGTTTCAAGATTATTAGGAAGTACCTGCAATTCGGGGGTTCTATGCTGCTATTGTGTGAATGTTCAACAACTTTATGATGTCAGGGAAAGCTGAGGAAGTGTTACGTATTTTGGGTCACGGAAGATGGTGATATGTTTTAATTTTTGAAGTGCACACAAGACTTAATTTTTTACAGTAATATTGCTACTGCTAATATTGCTAGAATGTTTTCTGGCATGTTATGGCTGTCACTAAATGAGAAGTATTGTTTGTTACAGGTATTATCAAAGACATCTCCAGCAAACTACATGCCCGAGTTCTTTCCTGTGTTCCTTGAGGGTCTCATCACTCGCAACAAGTACGTATATTTCGCCTTTGTTTCTAAAAAGTGTTTTTATGTGATCTAAAAGCATTATCTCTATCTCCAACAGAACTGAAGACCTGCAGTCTAATACGGTACTGTTGGCTTACTTTGCCTATCATCTTGGTGTCAAGTGCGCTACATTCAACGGAACAGTGCCCATGGTAACTGCCATTTCACGTACTTGGATTTTTTCTAGGAGCTCGTTTCTCTGTTAGACAGAATGCAATTAAGCAAGGAAAAGCATAGGGGACAGTAATCGTTGTTTTTTAACTATAGTTTAGTAGTTAAGGCCTAAACTGAAATTAATTATTGTGGATGAATAAATCACTGTTTCTGTTAGTGGGATTTGAACCCACAATGTTTGAATTACACGTCCAGTGTTCTATCAATTGAGCTATGACGGAAGGCAGTCACCCATCCACTTTGTTGCTTATTTCTCCACGTATAATTCCTATAGGTGTTAGCTAGCGCTTCTCGTAGCCAACGAGGCAAATGTGGAGCACTGTTCTTGTCAGAGGGTGTCATGGCACGTAAGGGCACATCACATAAAACATCAGCACATGGCACGATCTAAGCTAATCACGTGATTTTGATGCACTGTGATTACATCAGATGTGTTCGTATAAAAGCGGCAACTTAATGTCACCAAAGCAAAAAATACAAAAATAAAAATGTGGCTCTGACACTCTTCCAGTATCTGTACCTGCATGTAATGTACAGAAGCATGACTTTCGAAATTGTTTATTATTTTCGAGAGAGCTTTTTCTTCAGAATGTGATGGGTGACTGAAGAGAATGAATGGCAACTGTAGTTTACAGTAGCTGCCATAGCAATAGCCATAGCCTAGCTAGGTAAAGCTAAACAGTTTTTTCATCTCATTTCTTTCGGTTCATACAAGAACATGACGCTGAGTCAAGAGCAGCGACTCTACTACCTTAAAAAGCTCCTGGAGGTGTACCAGGCCACCGAGCAATACTGCCTAGTCGTGGTGATGCCCCAGTTCAAGCGCAGTCTGTTCAAGCCACGCCGCTGGTTTGGAGAGCTCGCTGCCAAGCTACAGTCCCTAGAGTACAACAACTGCTGCCTGGTTCCAGTGCCTGGGTACCATAATGAGGATTGCACCCAATCTTGTCGAAGGCAGCATGATCAAAACTCTGGAGAAATGCTGGGAGGTTTGTGGACAGGTGAGACACAAATACTTCTCCGTCGATATTGCTATACTGTCAGTGTCGCCTGTTTGCGCAAGCAAGAAGGTTGGGTGCAAAACACAAAACATTTTCCATAGTTTGGATTCAGTCTAGAAGTAAGATTTGTGCTTTGCTCTAGTATAAGCAATTGATGTACTTTTCTCTCTGCGTGAGCATTGCATGCCTGGACTGCAAAGCCGAAATCATTTATATGACCTGTACCCTCCAAACTTCACAAGTTTGGAGCAGCACAGACAGCAAGCTGCCTTAATTTGCGTGTTCTGACAGTAAAACTGTTCATTTTTCTTATTATTGTCTCTGACTTGAAGGAGGTACTTGTTTGATCATAGCGACAAGTTCTGAGTGAAATTTTATTTTATGTACTTAATGTTGCTCATCACGAGCACTTCAATTGTTTATGAATGAGATTGAAGTTGAGACATTGTCACCTTTTCCTTCTTTGCATTTCGGTTTCGATACTCCACATTTTTATCAATCCCAGCCTTCGTTTTTATGTGTGCAGCATTTTATACCCAACGAAAAAAGTTTTGTTCAGCAAAACTTTTTTCTTTTTTTCTGTGTTGCAAGTTCAAAACATAAACCTACAGAAGTCATCATAGCTAACATTAGGCAAGATATATTATGTAGAATGAGTTCTATTTGTAGTTTCTCTCGTTTTACAAAATATAGCATTTTTTTACTAACGTATTTAGTCCTTTTCTTATAACTTGCTGTAAACACTCATTTCTCTATGCAGCACGAATGTAGAATGGTAACACTTTAAAAGTCTTTACACCGTGATGTCATGCTGGTAGTAGAGAACATCACTTTTTTCACATCACTTTTTTCACATATTCTTTTGCTTTATGATTAAGTTTTGGAAGTTGACAGAGGCATCAGGAATCAAACTAAGCTGTCAATATTTAATAATTGTCAGAAGTTTGTAGAATGATGTGATAACTGCATACTGTTTACCATTGTTCTGCTGTCATTCATATGGATGTATGACCGGTAGTTTCTTTCTCGTGTTTAGCAACGACCAGGCCTCATAAAGGCGAGGAACCTACTTCTAGACAGCATCCTTGCCACCTACACCGAACTGTTTCGAGTGCCAAAGCTCATCCGGAACATTTTCTCATCGTTCACGCACCTGAGCACCCCACTAGCGCAGACAAGCCTCCCAGTGTCTTTCCTGCACAAGTTAGCTGAATGCTGCATCAACCTCCCTCCCGGCCAGCTGACCGACACGTGGCAGTTTCTTGTAGACCAACTCGGCTACTGGACGACAGGGAATACCAAGGGTGAGAATGAATGAAAAAAGAAAAAAGCAGAATTAAAAAGCTCATTTCTTTCGTTCATATTCGTAGCGCAAAAAAGAGCCAGATAGAGACGCAGAAAAAACACGTATACAGGACGGGCGCTAGACTAGCACCCGTCCTGTATCCGTGTTCCTTCTATGTCTCCATCTGGTTCTTTTTTGTGCCACAAATATGAATGCAAGTTACTCAAACAAACTAGCCTGCATCACTGCTTTGACTGCTGATTTTTTTGTTTGACGCAATCTTAGTCCAAACCAACAGGCAATGAAGCCAAGGAAGATAGAGGAAATGTCATTTGTACTTGTCAGAGTGCAAGTAACGTCCTCCAATTTATTGGGGCATTATTTATAAGCTTAGCGGATGTTACCTGTACTCTGAAGTAGTGCAAATCAGTGCTTGTTAAAGAGCATCAAATGGCCAATATTTTTGGAGCCCTCCACAATAGCGTGCCTCATAATCGAATTGTGGTTTGGGCACATAAAAACCCCATGTAGTAGCAGTACAATTAACAACAAAGCTGTTTAGCAAACTGTCACTTGTTCACCCTCTACCGAAAAACTGTCATCATTATAGGCAGGTATCTGCTGCAGAAATTGGGTAAATGTTGCTACTCACCTTTGGTCCCCTAAAAATGAAGAAGGCAACAGTCAGTGCAACTAGTGAACATTTGCCATGGTAATCAGTCCGACCTGTCAGGAAACTATCATCATGATAAAGGGCCGCATGCACCATTGAAATGAGATAAATCCCACTACATTCGCTTAACTTCCACTAAGCAGAGAAAAAACTGGCCACCTATCTGCGTGCTTCGCGGCAGATGTCGTTGAAAAACAATAGCCTTCTGCCTGAGCACCTGGTGCCACTGCCAAGTGGCAGCACCATATGGTCTACAGAGGGTTTCTTCGTGCATAGCGTCGTACGTTTAGCGCAATGTAAGAAACACTAGAGGCTTTAGAGTTATGTATCTATTTATTTTCTAGTACCTCCTACTACTTACGTATTGATCGAGTGCCTCAGATGTGCGTAATATTTTATTCTTCGTCAACAATGTTCTTAAAAGTATGAACGCAGCCACCAGTACAAGATGGCTAGGGGTTCAGCAAGTGCTTAAACATTGGCAGGGCTCCTGAACAGTGTGACAGACAGACAGACCGAAATTTCTGCATTCAAGTATATTTTTCTTTAAGAAGAAGCACACTTTGGACCATCGATTTTTGCTTACATAATTAGTTTTTTGTTCAGCTAGCACATTAGAGTTCTTAATCCAGCCACTAAGCTTTCAGAATCAATTTGAATTTGTTCTTTTTGGAAACATAGTGAGTTTTGATGGACTTTTACTTGAACCAATGTGTGTGTGTTGTTGGGGAAACGCACTTGGCTGGTGAACTTGACGAAAGTGCATGCCTCTCTCGATTATGCAACAGTACCATCATAGTTTGTAATAAAAATAACCTTTACAAGTAAGATATCCAATTAAGGTGTCAGGTTGGAAATGTGGCAGTGTTGAGTAGTAATAATTGGCAGTAATTTATGCCACCATTCAATTAAGAGCTATTGCTGGGAGTCAGGGAAAATAATTTCTACAAAGATATATTTCCGGAGGTCTGCCGCATGTATAAAGTGTGGAGGTAGCCTGCTCAGATAGTTTCCAGCAGCTTTGGTTTCACTTGTATCATTATATCAGATAGAGGGCCACATCTAGTGTCACTAGTCGCTCCTATGGCGGCGGCGTCATGCGCGCGTTGGTGTGCATCTGTGTTGCAAGAAAACACTCGCCGCTCAAAAGTGTCTTGCAGCCGCACCTGAATTGTGTGACGGCAAGCTTAGAGTTCAAAGATGACAGCACCTTAGCTTCAAGTTTTATGGCAACGATGTTTGCATCAGCCTAAGACATCTGCAGCCGTTCATGTGTTTGTTTTGTTTACGCCGTCAAGTTGTCTCCTCCGTCACAAGTGTGTTGCCGCTGACCTTTGTACGCAATATTATAGCTACACTGGTTATGTGCGAAGTCCACAGGTCGCTGAGGCACGGTGTGGTGCCGCTGCCTGCAGAGCTTCTCCTCACGCAAAGAAGGCAACTGAAGCACACCTTGGCCCTCGCTACGAAGCAGTGCAAGACAATATAGAACTGCGTGCAATATTGTTCATTTCTTAATACAATGTACTAATAGGAAAAAAAAAAATCTTTTGATGCATATATTGAAACTTCAACCTATTCGGAGTGAGGTGGCTCATAGAAAGAGGTGAGGCTAGACAAAATAGCGAAGTTTATTGAACATTTATAGAGGCATCACTTACATCACGGGCATCCATCTATGTTGGAACATCTGCAGGCTCTTATTGCTGAAAACAAAAATTTGCTGAAAAAAGTGAACGAGTTCACTTGTGTCTCATGAAAAACCAAGCAATGCTGCACAGCAGGGCACGAGCAATGAAGCAGCACGTTGATTCCGATTCTCTTTGTCTGCGTGAATAGAAACATTTTATACAATATTTATTATTTATTATACTGTTCTGGATCATTTATCCTTCAAATGTAAATTCTAAATTGTCCTTATTTTTAAGATTTTTGCATATATCGTGTTTTTTTTATTGCACGGTCTACTAGCTAGCTACAAAAAATTACACAGTTTTCAAATTTTTATTTATTTCCAAAATATTTTTTGTTGCTCTACCACATATATATTTTTTAGAAAGAGCGTTTCATTTAGCAAACTCTGACATGCCGCAATGTCTCCTGAAATACGTTTCATACCGTCAAAAACTATTTTCCCGAGATCTATAAAAATTGTTTTCGAGAGGTAACAAACGAGTTTATGTCATTTAGATCAATTTAAAGTTTTTTTCTGGCCGTGCTACAGTGAACTTTGAAAGCTGCACTATTTTGGTGCAGAGCAGTTCTAAACACCTTGTGCTGCTGTTGGTTGCCCTGCACTCAGTACGTGGATATAGCAAGCAGAAGAGTGTAAAAATTTTCAACTTCAGTGAGCATTGTGTGTATAACAGTTTCGTATACTTCATTCAAAATAAATGCCTAGACATAAAATAAATTTATGGAAGTTTTTACTTTTTATGACCACACTTGCCCCAAGTCATGCAGATGTGAACATTGTAGTTTCTTTTTTTCTCCTACTCATTGGTTGTAGGAAACATGCCTGAAAGTGGAGTGCCTGCAAAAAAGGAGAACCACCTCCCCAAGGTCCTTGTTGTGACAGAAATTTTCCAAACATTTGCACACCACATCCAGGTAGTCAACCCAACCACGCCACCATTGTATGTGATGAAAATCTGCGAGTTGATGCTAGCGACCCGCGAGCTTGCCACGCAGATGCTGGATGTCAGCTTCAAGAAGCAAAATGTGAGTACAAAAGTGAGAAGTTGCACTGACACTTTTTTTCACTGAAAGCTCAGCGAGCGCCACCACCTCTGAAGCTACATTGTGGCGATTGCCGTGAAATCCCTATGCAAGCACCTTCCTTCCTATTTTCTGGAGACTTGAATATGTGCAAGTAACCATGCAGGCACCTCCTCTCCCAGCACTATATTTTTTTCCAACTTGTTCTTCCCTACGGAATCCTGCTGCAGCGGTTCTCGGTAACTCACGCGTCGAGAATCTGAAAAATGTGGGGAAATTTTTTAGTAACCTTGTGGTGTGGTGCCTGGAGGTTGCATTTTGAGTTGTCACTAATTGTAGAAATATTTGAAGAACATCTTTTCCTCCTGTCATAACACATTACATTTCGCACGATGATCCTCTCTTGTCCAGCAAAAACACTAAAGGCATGCATATTTAACGGAGCATTTTATTAGAACCTCAGCTGTGCATTCTTCTTTGACGCTCTTCTCCAGCATTCCCGAATTTTCGACCCAAGCCGGGGCCCCCAATTCTAGTTCTTGTCCAATTACCTTTCACCGTGGAGCAGGGACGTAGCCACGGGTGGCACACCGGGCCCGTGTTCTCTCCCCTTCAGCCCCTCTCAAATTTTTTTTCCACCATTGCATAGAGAAATGATCATTTCAAAAATGAACCCCCCCCCCCCCCCCCGAAAAGTATGGCTACACTCCTGCCATAGAGGCACGGGTATATAGCGAGAATTGCTTGCTTACAATTTTACAATACAGGTTGCTCATGCCAAGTGGATTGCAATGCAGCAGTTGCAAAAAAGAGAGCATTGCTTTTTTGTTGAACTTGCCTTTGTATTGAGAAAATGATTAAAGTAGTTATATTTCTTCTTGCTTTGACCAAGTGGCTTTGAAAGAGGAAAAAGGAAGAAAAAAGCGCAGTCCCGTTACTGCCTCTCTTAATTGAGGGCACCTTCACAGTTATGTGCAGGGAAGGGGGGAATGGGAATTGAAGTGACAGAAGAGAAGAGGTAAGAGAAGGGTAGTGAAAAGCATTTGCACCGCATCGCATAGCGTGCGTCCAAAACCGCTGTGATGATCCCCAACCATCGGGAAAAGCTGCCGGGAAGGCCGGGGAAATAAATCACCGAAAAAGAAGAGGATGAGCCTAAGAGGTGCATCAAATGATGGGGGAACACACTCGCACGACCACAAAATGCAAGCACGAGAGAGGAAAAAAAAAACGGCCGAATGATTCCGGTTCAACGAGAAGGAAAAAAAAATCAGTTGAACGCACTGATTTGAGATAAGCAGGTGAGCACGTAGATCAGGGACGAAAGAGGAAAAAAAAAAACATTGTTCCAGTTCATCAAGAAGGGGGAAAAAAAACAGTTGAACTTACAGATTACCGTAGTGTCCTGTTCACCTTGGTGAAATAATCCAGTGGGGGCACAGAACACTGGAAAGGGCGCATAGCCCGAACACGAGAGAGAACGGAGAGAAAAAAGAAGTTCAGTACAGCAAAAAAAAAAAAGAAGTGAAAAAAAAAAAAGAAAAATGAAATCATGTTTAGCTGAACACACAGATGAGAGTGCCGAGGAACTCGATGTGTCAATCCCGTCGCCATAGTTCGCCGGAACGATCGCTTCATGCGCAGCAATAGCCGCCACACACAGGCCACGAACCGGAGAATCAGGGGGCAGCAACACCATCACTGCACGGATAGCCGCAACAAGTGCAGAGATTACCATGTTCCTCGGGTCTGCCTCGGAGTTGGTGCAATCCAGAGGAGGGGGCGAAGGGGCACTTGAGCTTGCAGCAGGCGCACTGGTAGGAGGGCGAGGAGCAGGCACCGACGCCGATCGACGACCGCAGGTGACAGCGTCCCGAAAGGAGCGGCCCTGGACGACTTCCACGCTGCCTTGCTTGTCGATGGTGTTGACAGCAGTTCTGGCTTTCTCCAGCGCTTGGCGGCGCGTCACGGGGCCATCAGAAGCGGCGATGATGACGGCGGCCTTGTGCTGAATTCGCCAGGAAGGGCAGCGCGGTTCGTTAGCCGGATGTGTGCCACTGCAGTTAATGCAGCGAGGGCGCTCCGCAGGACAGGGCGCTTTGGCGTGGCTGCCGCCGCAGCGGAGGCAGTGTTGGTCCCGTGAACAGGTCGCAGTGGCGTGGCCGAAACGGCCGCAGCGGGCGCACTGGAGGGGCCGCGGCAGTCGAGGGCGGCCGGCCTCTGTAGCTTGAAAAGGGCCACAACCGGCAGGACCGTGGTGCCCTGAATTGTGATCGTGAGGCACCTGCCTCGTCGGACGCAAGAGATGACGGGGACAGCTGAGTTGAGGTTGGCCACAATTTCCTCCAAGTCAAGGGTTGCGTCAATGCCATAGATGGTGCCCACGCAGCTGTTTACCACGAGGAGCCTCCCCCTTTCGTGGGTGTCGCAGATCCGGCTGACCTGGAGCATGGGTGTGGGATCCGCGAGAGGCTGGATGTCCACAGCGGCGACGTTGCGCCGAAAATTGACGCGGACGCGTCGAGTGGCCGAGAAGCCGGAGAGGAAAGCCCCGATGGCTTCGCGGGTCGTGGCAAGGTAGTTGGCTTTCTTGCCAACTGGGCGGTAAAGGATGGTGCCGCCGTGCTCTCCCACTGCTGCAGGAGGGGCCGGGGGTTGTGTGACGGGCTCAGAAGCTGGGTCGGCGTCCAGTTCAGCTGGGGGGCAAGTTGGTGAGTTGAAGCGGAAGCTGGGGGCGCCAGTTTCCTCCCATGTCGTGTCCTGACTATGTGGTGACGACGACGGTAGGTGTCTGGTGTTCTCATGAGGAACTAGAGGCGGACGATTCATTCGTCTTCGAGGGTTCCGCCTGAGTTGGCGCGTCCTCGATGGAGCGCTCTTCCTCGCGCGCCCGAAGGCGAGCTTTGCGATGTTGCTGCCGACGGCCATGGCCATCGGTCACGAAGCGTCGGTGTTGAAGACGCATCCTGAAGCTTTTGCTGCTTCGGGTGGAAGTCAGCCTTCAGGTTTTGGTTGACCCGAGCCCGGTACCAAAGTACAGGCGGGCCCATGACTCGGGGTAGCCCTCAGAAGGGCTGTGCGCCTGAAGGCGTGAAGCGGGCGTCGAAAAATAACGCACGGGAGGTGCGAAAAAAATGCGACCGTCCCGGAGAAAAACTCGCACAAAAAAAAGCTTTTTGCTTTGACGAAACCTCGCCTACTGTGTCATACCGTGTGTTGCCTTACCCACTGTATTTTATGATTACTGAATTGTTACACAGGTCCCGTTAATTAGGGAGGCGATCGCCGGGCTAATTCCAAGGGCCGAAGTATCGGCCCCCCGAACCGCTCCACGAAAGCGTGGACAATTTAGAAGTGGTCCTTTTTGGCGCGCCAGCGGACGCCGGCTGTGGCCCAAAGAACAAGTCAGAGCCGAGAGTTGATAAACCAACAAAATTATATTCTCAATAATGGCAGATCAGAAAAACAATACACAAATATGCTCACTCCACAATAGCTGAGTACAATATGTCACCGATCAAACAACGTACTACACAGTACAATTAGCCACACTTGAACAACGGACACAGACAACAGTACACACTACAATGCAGTCGCATGCATTCAACAACCAAGACCCTTAAAGACTAAAGAGATAGAAAACCTATTCAGTCCAAAGTCCTTGGAACAAAAGTCTGAATGATACTCTTCCGAGAATCACTCACTCAAAGTCCAGCGTTGTTGCCGTTCCGCTGCCCCGAAGTTTCTCTTCCAGGAAACCTCGCGTCTTCAATTGGCTACTCTCCAAGCTTCAAACTTCTTCGCCGGAAACACGTCGGCTTCACACACGCAGCTGTTGCCACGCGTCTTCGCTCGATAGCGGTAAACTCACGCTCTTGCCTGTAGCTCGAGCCTTCACCCCTCAGGTGGAAATCCTCTTCTTCTCCTGCTTTGTCGCTACGGACAAAACCTTCGCCGACTACACGGCGGAATCCTTACGCGCTCTGGCGCTAACTTCCGTCTTCTCCTGATCTCTCGTCTCGGCTGCTCGGTTAAATACCTTTTGCGCGACATTCCAGAAAGTTCTCTGTCATTTCGTCGGCGCGATACGCAGCGAAGGCTGGGGAGAGGCGCGAGACTGTACGGGGGCCGTCCCCGACAGATGACTCAACCCGGCAAAACACGCCCCTTTCCTTCTAGAAATTTCCAGTGCTTGCCCGGCCGCCGTTGTGGGGTGAGAAGGTTCATCGGCGAAGCCAGGCTTCCGAGGGAAGAGCGTCGCGCGCCCGGGGAGCCTTGGATGCTTGTTTTCTCTTTTCTTTTTTTTTTCGTTGACCTCGCCGCGTCTCTCCCGCGCGTTATCGCAAGAAGTTGGCGGCGCGCCCATATTGAGCGCTCGTTCTGTGACACTGCCCCCTACTTTAAGAATATTATCTCATAATATTCAAAACCACACAAACGAGCGCGAACAGTCCCCACACACTCAAAGACTGTAACATAGTCCGTTGCTCATGACACGTCACATTCACAATATATCACTCAATACAATTGGACATTACAATTCAATTTCACACACATGAAATATAACCGCAGGTACCTGAGTACAACGCTTCATCACACATTCCGAACAATACAAACGTACAAAGTTCTGTCTTTACAACAATTATACAACACTACACATCACATCACAGCACAAACACTTCGACACTTGTGACACAAGATAACACAACATCAACACAACATATGGCACTCAGCACTGCCAAACACATTCTGATTCGACCTCAGCGCTTATCCTGTGTACTTTGAGCGGCGCTTACGCCCTTTCTTGCGGTGCTCGCTAGATCTCTTCTTGTTTTTCCTCGTTCTTTTTCGGCGAGCCCTTTCCAACGACGGTATCTGAGGCGGCGTTTCAGCCATCGTTGTCACTTCCGACACTGCTAGCGGATCATGACGCTCAACCGATCCTGTCCGATTATTCACCCGCTTGTTCATGTCCCGACATTTGGCCTGGCTGGCTGACTCCG